CCAAAGCCAATACACATGGACATCGACGGGCTAAGTGCTAATCTGTGTAACAACGGGTATAGTCGCCGGGTAAGAAAAACTGCCTTATTTGCCAGGGCTGTAGTTCGGACCTTTCGCCGTTGAGCGAGTTTAGCTATCTAAGGTATCCATTGATTTGCTTACTACGGTATCAACAACTGGAATGACAGCCGCTGAGGGCTCGGTTAAGAAGTAGAGTGATCGATATCAGATGTACTTGCTTTGGCTTAAAATTTTTTTTTCATGGGAAATCCAATTCTTTGTTAACCTCGGCGTGGATGGCTTCTTACTAAATATTCATATTTTATAACCCTAATTTGAATAGAAAGATTAAGGCTCAGATTTGCCAATTGATAGAGAAGCTTGTCCCATCCCAAGCCCAATGTGATCTAAGTAAGACCTCTCGACAGGAGCAGCAGCACGCTTCAACGACAAGACAAATATAATTGACTAAGAATAGAAATGCGGGAAGGCTAATCTCTACTTCCTGGCCTTGCTACCCCCGTTCAGCAGAAGATGGACGGGCTGTTCCATTCTCAAACCATTTAGCTAGGGACGTCACCTCACCAATTCTCAGTGGGCGGTACACCCGGAGAGTCAATCCCGCATCTACTCGAACAAGAAGTTCCAACTCTGTTTTTTTTGCCTCTTTTTCTGGCATATGCCGTACATGACGCAGGCTAGCTAGTTTGACCCAGCTGATTGACTTATAGCTCCCCTGCGCTCAAACTTAGATAAGAATCGCCTGGGCAGGTGGATTCGCTCCTACCACCACCCTACCTTAACAAAAGCTAAGTCGCATACTGAATTACTGCTTCGCTGCCTGTGGAATGGAACCCCGTACCTCCACTTTGTTGTTTCCTTTTTTCGGAGTAAATATATCCCTTAGTCCTGCGAAGGAGCGAGTGAGGTTACTGCAGAATTTCTTGGACTTAGCGGACTTACCCCCATATCCCCGCTTCGTGGGCTAAACTCAAAACGAACCCTGCTTATTTCTTTTTCCGCTGAAGAGGAAGAACAAGAGTCTGGTTGTGCTTCGGCCTTAAATAGCGCCCTCTTCTCTTAGTATAGGGCGGGCTTCCCCCAAGAGAATGCCTTCACTCCACTCCCCCTTCAGACGCCTATGGAGAACTAAGGTACCATTAGGAGTATCCTTTCCGAAGGACTCGAAAACAAGCCACTATTTAACTGTTTAGGCGGCATTGAAGACGCTCCACTCGTTCGTAAGACTCGCTGCGAGTATGGAAGAAAGATAGGGTCAGCAGGCCTTAGCGCAAGCACTAAGTAAGCAAGCTACCTTTACTTCCCTGGGATATCCCCCTTCCTATAGGACGAGCCATGGGAACCCATGAGATTGATTGAACAAGCCTTAAAAGCGAAGAAGAACCTAATCGATCAAATCTATTCGTGGAATTAGAAGAGGGGCTATATAATTAAAGAAAGTCATTCGTACCAGTACCACACTATTTCAATCAAATACCGCTGGCAGACCCTGGTAATTATTATCATCTAACTGGCACATCTGTCCTTTGCACCTCTCCAATGGTAATCATGCAGTTCCTGCCTATTTGGCCTGTACCCCAAACCAAATGTCCCGTAGTGCACTGGGTATTCGGGGAATTCTGGAGGCCCTTGCTGGTATCATCCCAATCCTAGTCCCGGAAGGTAGCCCTTTGCCTTTTTTTACTTTAGGATTTTGGGGTTGCCCTTTCCCCTTACCCATATGAGTAGGACGGGAGCAACTCTTTCCTCGGAGGGCTGAATTCCACCATGTTAACTTCCTGCCCTTTCTAATAAAGAATTCCGGCTCCGTCGGATCTCCAATCTGAACCTTACTAATAGGGGGGCACGAATCCAGCGTAGTCTCTCACTTTCTTAACAGGCGGACGATCCGGATCTCCGTGAATCATAACGATTTGGCTGCCCTGGATGAATCGGACCTTCTGATGGAGTGTGTATAGTAAGGCGTTTGGTTCAGCGACGCCGCTCCAATTGTATTCACCTCTGCTTTAGCCCGAGAGGTCCCGGCAGACTTTTTCTGCTTATTATTCGAGGACCCGTTGCAAATTGCAAAGCAACGGCGTAGAAAGGGGGAGCGAACGCCCAGCTGCCAATGCATCTTCTATCTGGCAGCCAGCACAAACTAAAGAATGAAAGGTTGGATGATGGGTAAGTGTCAACCTATTGGTATACTTAGGGTTCAGGCTCTTCAAGACCATAGCAATTTGATCTTCCTCCGAGGGTCTCTTTTGAAACTGAGCAGCTTGGGCCCTTCCCCTCTATAGTAAGCTATGTGATGAAGTCGGTGAAAGACTCAGTGGGTCCTTGCTTAACGAGTTCTAGCTTACGCCTTGATAACTGAGTTTTTTTATTGTATGCATAGTGCGTCACAAAGGCGTTAGCCAGATCTGGCCGTGTGCGAATGGTATTTGGGTCAGTGTTCATCAACCAAGTCAGCGCGGGTCCGGTCAAACTGCGCTGGAATAGTTGGACAAGTAGCTCATTGTCGATTCCCATGGGCTGTAGAGTTCCGACATACATCCTGCCTTTAAAATTGAAGCTCCGAGGTAAGCCTCTTTTTATCCTATTTTGTTATGCATTCGGTTCCGTTATACTTATATATCTCTGGCCACTTAAAACCGTACGGAAGCCTTACTTTGGGGTATAGGGAGAGATTATCAAGATCTACAACATCATACTTGTCCCCAGTCAATTTATTAACTGCCCGTTCAAGGCGACTGATCTTCTCCATCAGAGGATCGGACGGCTGTGGTGGGACGTATGGCACTATCTGATTCATGGGAGTGGGAGCCAAGGACACGGCCGGTACTGCAGGAGGCTTTCTTCAGATCTCTTTCTCGTAGTGATCCACAGGTTCAGGAACTGCGGGCTGATTCTGAACTGAAGGGGGTACTGGGTCTACAGGTCTAGCATCTGCTACTCTTGGTTGGCTTTGTGGTTGTGGATCTGTGTCCCCTGAGCCGGGGTGGTAGATGGAGGGTTTGTTCCTTGAGCAGCAGGTGCAGCCAGGGTATTTCGGCTACCTGCGAGGTCAATTGTGCTAGCATCCAGGCAATCTCAGCTAGTTGACGGCTAACTACCTCGTTAGAAAGTTGCTGATTTGCCGGGGCTGTAGGGTTCCGCTGGTGGTTAGAGCCAGTAGACTCTTCATTGTCCCCATCATAGAGAGTAAGCAAGTTACCTCGGTGACTGGCGTTGTTGGCCATGATCTCTGGGTCTGATTCACCAAGGCGTTCTAGGTCCTCTATTTTGACTAACCTCCTGGACGGGCCTCTAGTAGTTCGCACCCACCCGCGGTTTGCAAACTGACGGCGAACCGAGTCTAAGAAAGATTCCTCTTGTGCCGAACCTATGGTTCAACACTCAAGATTAGGGATAAAAACCTAAAGGCTGACACCGGCTTAATATAATAAATAAGGTTTAGAAAGACCGCAAAGATGTGTGCTTGCCGCTGTATGCTTCCTGATTAACGTCCGATGTTGCACTGCTGTATGCTGAATCAAGCGGTCCCGGAAATAAGTGCGTACTGAGTGTAGTGCAATTTATTGGGTTCCTTAGCAGGCTATGCCTAGGTTCAGTACATGCATGAGGCTCAACACGGGTATAGGCTTAAGGCTTACCTTAGCAGGCTCTCGCCCTATATACCTCGTAGCCCGAAGACTAGTCGCTGGTACTGGCTAAGGGTGTGGGAGTTCGCATCTATGGTCAATCAATAGGTCCGTTTTGACCTTCTTTTCGGTTGGACCAGATATTTTAAAACCAGGGCTTTTAATGGATATCTGAAAACCTTTTCTTTTGATAAATCAGAACAGATACGGAAGCCTTGAGTCTAAAAACCTCATCAACTCCTTCTTCTAGTAATGCTGCTTAAACTCGCTCTCTAGGATCTATGTTTACCCAATAGTTGAGGAATTATCGACCAACCCCGGAAGAGCAGGGATAGAAGACTAAGTCAACCTCCTGCCTTGATCGACTCCTCCATTCATCGCCTACCATGGACACTTCGACTCCCCCCATCATAAGTAGGGCCTTTCCCTTTTCCTGTGCTTTTTCAACCTCGGTTAATGTAGTATTGAAATAATAACCTCTACTATGAAAATAGTAAGGATTATCCGGCCACTCCCCGTGTTCTTTCAATGCTTTGCTTTGGGAACCGGGCACGGCGAGAGGAGGCTGCTCAACTAGCCCCCCTGGTGTACGAAAGCAGCGAAGGAAGAGGAGCACAACCGTCACTTGCGAAGCGAACAAAGCTTAGCGCTCAAACAAGCCCTCTGATCCTGAGGTGAGGGTGCAATGCCTATCCGTCTAATAGAATATTTCTATTCCAACACACACAGAACGAAAAGGACAATATACAGGATGGGTAGAAAGAGTTGTTTGACTCGATCCATGGTCCGAAACTACGTTATTCTTCGCATCGAGAAGGAATAATACCGCAACAGATCCTATGTGTTAGTTCTCTGCTACTTCAGCTATATGCTTATAACTAGTCTTTTCCTACACCAGTTTGAGGCCTAACGACTGCTCTGCATCTCCGGTGGAATTTTCCAGTTTGCTGCAATATCCTTGGAGCAGAGGAAGGGAGATCATAGGAAGATAATTTACTTTAGTTAGTCGGGACCGTTCGTAAACCACGCCTCCCAGCCATCGCCTTCAGTCTGTCTGTCTTCTTTTTTCCTCTCTTTTCTACGTTACGATTTTGCTTCTGACATTTCTAGTGCTTAGGGGCGTAGCGGAAGACCAAGCCAATCTCGACAAACAGTTGATAAGTACAAGAAAACGGATACGCGTTAGCCGGAGAAAGGTAGCTAGAATATAATATATTCAGAGAAGAAGAGTGAAAGGCAGTTGGAACTATAGGCATTACAGCCTGAGGGAATACAATAGAACAAGAGGGATATCCCGTAATAATAATATTCTTTTTATCCTCCAGCTTGAGCTAAAGGTTCGTATTGGAAAGGATGAAGACTGATCTCTTAATAGGAGACTTCGGTCTAGGAACAAGAGAGATGAGACCTCCTGCCAATTACATTTTCTTAAATACTGGCCTTCGTACAACTACTAAGACTTTGGGAAAGGAGACACCTACTACTACTTTCGTCACTACTACCACTTACCTCTACTACTACTCGCACGCGTACAGCTTCCTATTCCTCTTTGTTACTGGAGATAGAAAGTACAATAGCTAGATTCTTATTAGACTACAGCTTAAGGGGCTAACGCACTTCACTCAAGACTTTAGTTGAAATCACTTTTTGAAAGGCTAAAACCACTCGTCCGACGCTATGTGAGCAGCTGAACTAGCGTTTTCATGCTCTCCAGAGGCCGTAGGAACGACAACTTAGCGAGACTGGGAGTGGTATGCCTATTACTGCGTGGGATAATCGGTCTAGAATTCCGCCCCTTCTCCTTTCCTCTCTATATGCAGGATATGGAAATAAATTCCGTACCGGACCAAAAGTCTCCTATTTTGGTTCTAGCTAGATCCCCTGATCTTTAAAGCGAGTTCATATCTTTTGGCTACTGGACTTCCCCACCCGCTGCTCTGGATCGTCGGGTTTTTCCTCTGATGACTTAAAGGTAAGCTTGCTTGTGTTCGGGCTTTCGAGTTTGATATCACCATATACTAGTGCTAGTGCGGGTGAAAGTTGCTCGACCATAGGTAGGGACTCGCTCGACCATAGGAGAGGGAGAGGGAGAGGAAGGGATCATTGAGGGCATTCCTGGTCTTACAGTGCATTCATGCAGCAAGATTCAGATTGAATGGACATAGAGGGAACGGGGTCTAGTTCAGTTTTCAGGGTGAAAGCCTCGAAAAAGGCTTAGAGCCATTTCCTAGCAACACAAGGCAGGCTAGAAAGGCGAGAGGAGCTATAGTAGCTACATGAAACCAAGTCATTCTTTCTAGAATACTTGCTGGCATGCGAGACGAGACTGGAACCAAGGCCAAGGGCAGGAGCTCCACCAACAGGAACCCTATCATCAACCAATAGGCCAGGTTCGTAGACTGGGTACATAGAAAGGGGGAAGGGACGCTAACAAGTACTAAAAAAAGACTTTCCACAAGGAATTATTATCGCTTAGCGCTTGTGCTAAGGATTGGCTCGATCTTCTTATTCAAGGATTCTTCTGCCTCACAAGTGCCGGGCGATCCCGACCGCACTGATGCGGCTTAACCATCGTTTATCCACAGATGCTACTTTGAAACAACTTGGAGGGGAACGCATCCCTTAGAAGCTGCATGAGCACTTTAACCAAAGAATGTAGGTCATAGCTAAATAAAAGGAGCATTACTTCGAACCAACAAGAAAGAAATCCAATTTGGAGTACTAACCAAAGGAGTGGCACTTGAAACGTAGAAAGACCAAAAACCCAGCCTCTTGCTGAACGAGATTCTCATTCTCTTTTCCAAGCCCGGTTATTGAACCTATGCTCTACTCAATCCCAAGTACCCGTATACGCTACCTTCCTTGATCGACCCAGAATGTACTATCTCTAGCCGTGAATTCACTACACGAACATTTAACATATGAAAGATAAACGAGATCCATTGCACAAGTATGCTATTTCAATCAGTCCATGCTATCCGCTACACAGGCATATTCTACCCACTACACAGGGTTATTCAATTCCGTTTAATTCAAGACAAGAAAGGGCAGGAACGCTTCAAATAGACTGCTGTGGACATATTATTCAGAGAGCCGCATAGACCCTCGATTTAGTTTAGAAACAAGAAGATTACAGCCTAGTAGTTGGTGGAGGCACTAAGTACCCTTTGGGTATGACGAAAGGCTACAGCTATGCATAGGAAGTCTCAGTTAATGGGATGCCGGGTTCCCTTTGAGTGTAGAAAAGCTGCTGCTCGACTTGAATTGAGGTTGTGCCTCTTCCAATCGCCATAGTTAAACTTCTGATTAGCCCTACTCTACTAGATTTGCCATAGCAAATTCGATAAAGGAGGGGTGAAAGACTTAAATTTCTATATATGTAGAAAGGACACAACCTTTTTAGAAACAAAGACTACGAGACTTTAGATTATCCATCCACTGTTACAAGAATGATATGTGCCTCCATTAGGAAGAGAGGGAGAATGTAACTCAGTTTCGGTTAAAGTTGGCTTGCTGGATCTTGGAGTTGAACGTGAATAATTGTGAGAAATTACCCCCTTGTGTATCCTTCTGTTCCTAAGGGAAGGGGCTTACTCATATAAAATATATAAAATAAAGTTTGCACTTAATCTATTAAGGTATTTCATTCCAATCTTCTGATCTTCAACTATTCTCACCCCTCGGAGTCTAAAAAGATGTGTATCTTGCTATTGGTATCAATCGGTCCTCTCTTTCCTTTTGGTGGTATAGCCGCATGTGTAGATTACCCTTATTCTTCATCTTCTCTACCCTTCGGTTGCTTAGGGCGCCCTGAGGGATTCGCCTCTAGGAGAAGAGTTATTGATCACATAGCTTGGGTACTAGAAGTTGCGGATCGTATCATTCGGGCAGAGCCTGGGTCCCTTAGTATTATGTATAGCGCAGCTCCCTCAAAGTTTCTTTTGCTAGTTTTGTTCCGATCGATGAAGGAGACTCTACTAGTCGGTAGCGCGCGGATTCGTTTTCCTATTTCACTGGGATCGGTCCTAAGGCGCGTGCTTCAATATTGTCTTGATTGGCAGTCGCTCTTCTGTATTTTTAATCTTCAGAGATACCCTTAGAGTTCTGTCCTGAATGGGAGGGTTGTTGAGTCAAGTCAAGAAGAAGAAAAAGAAAGTCCCACAAAGGAATCTTGGACAATGGGCACAAGTCTTTCTTTATTAAAGTTTTTATTAGTATCTCCATTATAATTAGCATTTCTATCAGCTCTGCTCTTTTGTCTCCTGAATATCATCTCGAGACCCAAACAACGAGATCCGGATTGGAACCAACGCATATTGATTCAAAGCTTATGGCCCTTCAATACAACCCCCCTCTGTATAAAACCGTAAGTGAGCGGTGCGAGTCTACAAAGAATACTTAACATCTTCCTTCTTTGGCGCTGTTGGAGATGCCCCACAAGGCCTTCTTTCTCAAGATTGAATTATTCGCGGTGAACAAAAGGAAGCAACGCCGCTACAAGCAATAGAAAGCAACGTTTATTAATCCATTTCAGTAGGTGGCGGTGTACACTAGGTATCAACAAAGGACGCTTTCTCTCACCCAGCCCTTAGGAGGTGTTAACTCTTCGCCTTCGGCTTTCCATTGAATGATCCATCCGGTGTGCTATTTATACTCCGTCAGTGAGGGCTTCTCCCTTTTCAATCTACATGGCATACGTACACGAATATTATCATCGACTCGGCTCAAAGCATATGATCAAAGCTCTAGTGGCGCACATAGCAATATCAGAATGGAATTCTCGTCGGCCTGACCGGCAGTAATAGCGAACTAACACTGTTCTAATAGAAAGGGGGAGTCCCTCTTTGCGGTAGATAACGCAACCGAACACAAAATGAAGCTTTCAGTCTCGCAAAGCATCTGGGCCCCCCGGAAACAGCCAGCGAATCGATAACTGAACAAGAGGAAGTAGAGCGTCTCACGACTCTATATGCTGTACCACATACTAAGACCAAAAGCCGTTCTTAATAGAAGTCCCCAGGAGCTGGTTCCTTGAAAACTCTTCCCTCTCCTGTCTTTGAGGAATTCCACGTGCAAGAGGGTCTACTCTCATTGTTGAGGTACCCCCGTTCACTCCGAGGCCATTCAACGGCCATTCCACGAGGTAAGCCCGCTAACCCCGAAAGTCATTGTCTCCTGGTTCGTTCTTCCTGTGGATTCCCTACCAATCTAAGTAAATAAGGGTTCTCGAACCCCGTCTCTCCCGTCATTGAGGTAAGCGCGGCTATCCCGATCGGGCTAACCATTTAAAGATGAAAGATTTCCCTCGGGTAATTAATGGCAGGCGCTCTCCGAGCCCTGTGCTTTCCTGTATGTGAGGAAGGGGAGTTATTCTGTTTATGGAAATAAGAGGGATACCTTCAGTGCACGAACTGCCTTTTATTTATTTGGGGCACCTAATCTTCCGTATTTGTATTTAATGAGTACAAGGAATTATTATCGCTTAGCGCTTGTGCTAAGGATTGCTCTCTTCCCTTCTTCCTTACTCTAACAAGTAAGCAAGTTTCACTCCCTCTCCCTATGGTCGAGTGAGTCCCTACCTTTGGTCGAGCTAGTAAACTTCCTTGATGTGGAGTGGTACCGGGGGGTTGAAGCTCTTAGCTCAATGGCTGCTCCTTGCAGAAGGTTCTGAAAGAATTTTAGGTCCTATCTTTAGACTTCTTTAAGTAAGTTTCCTGCGCTGCTTTTCCCTTGAGCGAAGAACCGAAGTAATGAAAGCGTGCCGGTTCTGAAAGAAGGAGAGTGTTCTTTGACTGAGGATCAAGACAACAAAGGTTATGAAGGAAGTGCGTTTTCCGTGCTTTAGAATAGAAATTGGTAGAAACCCACGTACTCTTGATTCAAATCACTCTGTTTTCCCGTGGTTTTCATAGGAACTGGTAGAAGCGAAGGTAAAAAGCATTCATGAAGAAGCAGAGCACCAAGGGGAGTTACTTGCTCGACCGTTAGAGTAAGGCAACCGTTTAGGTTGTGTTAGAATGGGAGTTCCTGTGAAGGTGCCGAAGGTGAAGCAGCTTTACGACGAGAGTGAAACACTAGGGCATCGAAGGTAGGTTACTTGCTCTTTAAGGAGAGGAACGGGGTAGCTCGACCAACAGGAGAGGGAGTTTACTCGTTAGAGCGAGGCGATTGGAATGAGGGTGCGCTCGAATGAAAGCTCTAGAGAGGAGGCACCAAAGGTTACGAAGTCAAAGAAATTATGCCATTCTTTTTCCATTTCCCCTAAAGGTTCTGAAAGAAAAGGGGAAGGAGAGGTGTCCTTATTGACTGGGGAAGAAAGGGAGGCAGGAACTGTTGAAAAGAGTCTATTTTACCGTGTTTTTCCATAGCAATGGTGCTTTCACCCGTAGGACTGTGTCACTTCACCATGTCACTTTTTGATTCGAAAGGGCATTAAGATGGTATAGCTCGAGGTGAAGAGCACCACCTTCCTTTCAGAACCTTTCTAGTAAGTAGCTACATTCCTTTCTTTTACTTCGTAACCTCTTGTCACTCTTTCCTTGCGATGCCTTCCTGAAGGTGAGGCTCCAAAGGGAGTTTACTTGCTCGACCGTAGGGAGAGGGGTGAGGCTTCTGTCTCAGCGACTCTTCCTTGCGGTTAGAAGGACTTTTTCTGTCTACTCTTCCCTATGGTATCTTTAGCCGCCCTTGAGTCTGCTTGCCCGCTCTGTGGAGGAGAGAAGCAACGCTTTACGACGACAAGGCACCGAAGGTGAGGCAGCGAAGTAACCGAAGGTGCGCGTTGGGATGCGAGTTCCAGGGAGTTAGGGAGCGCAGCTTATTGACTCCGTTATCAATAGTCGGACAAACAAGCAAAAAAGAGTTGTTTTATGAGCGAAATGACCCTTAATTGCTAGTAGTTTGTCCTTATCTGTTGCGCGGTAAAACCATGAAATATCTCATCACCTTCGGTGCCTTGCTTTCTCGTTGTCCTTGGCATCACTGCATGAAGCTATTGCTAACAGAGAGCGAGTGGCCCCTTGGAAGGAACACGAACGGAGGGGAAGCAGCTCTTCCTGTCTTCTTAATGTGGAGCTACGTGGTATGGGGGTGCTCCCCCATCCTCTAACCGTTTAAAGCAGCTTAAAGAGAAGAGCTAGTCGTTATACTCCTATCTCCTTACCTTCCTTGCGCTATAAGAGGAGTGAACGCTTCCTGGGAGGGAGCATGAATGGTGTGGAAGTGGTTGTTCTTTGCCTGCTGTTCCTGTTGTTTTAACATTACTTAACTCCTAGCTCCATAACTTCCTTGCTCTTATAGTAAGTGAACGCTCTCTCGAAAAGAGCATGCGCGGAAGGAAAGTTCTTCCTTTCTTCCTGTCTCTAGCATCTAACAGCCTAAAGGGAAAGCTGCTAATCATTACACTCCTAGCAAGCTCGCACACTTCCTTGCGCTACATAGTGAGTGAGTGAAGGAGTTGGTTACTTTGTTGGTTGTTCCTCCCTCCTTTCTTTCAGAACCTACTACAGCCAAAGAAGCCTTTCTCCCTGTCTCCGAAAACGGACTGAGAGCTTTATTGAGCACGATAGAAAATTGCATTTATGGGGGGATATAAATACCTCTTAACGCCTGATCTCAGTGTAGCTTCTTCGCTTCTGAGGCACTTAAAAAAGATAAAAATGGAATTTTAAAGAGGAAGATTAAACTAGCTCGACCAAAGGGAGAGGAGACGGGAACTCTTTGACAAAAGGGTGTTTTCCCGTGTTTTTTGGCGTGAAACGTGTTTTCACCCCTTGCTTTTTTTGAAACAAAATCCGTTTTCCGGGGATTTTTAATAGGAATCGGGGTTGTAGTAAGCGGGGAGTTTTACTTTTTTGTCGGGCTCCACAAAGCCTTTCGCCGACATCAATAACATTTCATATCTCACGAATTGGATTCGAACCAATCAAGCTACTTCCCTTTTAGTAGATCGTGAGTGGGTCTGTCGTCCTCCTAATTAAAGTCCTCCTAAAATCAATAGCATTTCGTCGGAATACATCCTGTCTTTTCACCTTTGTAGTCCTATGCATAGTCAGTACTATAGCCCCAATCATGGCTACTAATAAAATAAGACTAGGAACCAAAAACCAGACGAAATAGTAGGTATAAAGTAAATTGCCCAATGTTTCCAAATTTGTCCAACTTTGCACCTTTCCGGCATAAACCGTATATCTCAGAGAGGTCGTATTTCTTTGGGTTGGTAGTAATGGAATGGTTTCATTATCTAAAATGAAGAACATTTCCCACCAAAGGATCAGTCCAATAATACCACTCACTGGTAAATAGCGCAATACTTCTTCGTGAATCTCCGCTATTTGAATATGGAACATCATAACAACGAATAGGAATGAAACGGCTATAGCTCCTATATGAACTACTGGGAAGATCATTGCGAAGAAGTCGAGACCTAACAAAAGAAGTAAACCTGAAGTGTCGCGAAAGACTGGAATGGGAAACAAAACGGAATGTACCGGATTTTTTGCACGTGCAACCATCAAACCAGAGACCAAAGCAGGGCTCGACAAAACGGAAAGTATCATGACTTATTAAGATTCACTTGTAGTTCCGCTTCTTGCTCTAACAGAAAGACTTTTCGGAAATCTGGTTGGTCCAACCAAGAAAGGCATGGGAGTCTTTGGGCGTATTTCATACGCAATTTCTTTTTTCTCAATTCAATTGCAGTCTCCGAAGTCCTTCTTGATCGATGGTCCCCATTAGCATTAGTGCCAATTAGTAGCCGCTCTTTTTGGAAGGCGAGGTACTCATGTGTGATCGCGGATTCCGCGGTAGCAGTAGTTCTAGCTCTACATTAGGAGCGCGGGGGCTCTATCTATCTAAAGGGGGTACGGACCCCTTCCATAGTACGGTACGATGCAGTTGAAAAACGTAAGCCCGGTTGGGCTTACGTTTTCTTGCTTTTCTTTGTTGAACCCTTTACGGTCTACCCTCTTTCTCGATATCCCAATTCTAGCGGTCGTTAGCAGAAGTAGAGATAGGGGGAGGTAGGAATGAGGGCCCGTACTCGTCTTAGAGCTAGTTTGACTTAGTGTACAGGACAGTGGTATGCGTGTCAGGGGAAGAAGCCAAGACCTCTTAGTTACCAAACCTTCGCCCATAGCCTAAAGGAGGAGAGGAAGCTTTAGAAAGTGACTCTTTGGACTAGTCTCATAGCCATCTATCTCTATAGCATCCCGCAATTCCTGCTCCTTCCCGTCCTTCTTTTCGTTCTTGATAGCACAGGAAAGAGACTGTTCTTGGTCCTTGGCCGTCCTTTGTCCTCTTTCGATAATACCATAGATGCTATTGGTCCCGATCTTCGATTCAATCTGGGAATGGTTGTTAAAGAGACCCGTGGTAATCGTCTTTTTTTTCTTTATCCGAGGTCTTAGCTATCTTTAATCAGGCTAATCTTCTTCCTAAAGATCCCATCCTGCTTAGAAAGATAGCAGCCAGAAAGAGAATGTATAAAAAGCTATGATAGCGGAGTTAAGTTAAGTGGAGAAGTAAGTAGACTGGACAACTAAGAGGGAGACATTAGTGATTCCCCTCCAATCGATAGCTCAGAAAGAAGGAAAAGGGATTACTTCTTACTCATCTCAGATGCGGCTAATCGACTGATGATCTTATCAACTTACTCGGTATATGGAGAAAGTCATCAACAGACTTGTCTTGACGCTGCTTGGCTTCCGTCAATTCTCTTACGCCTACGCACTAAAGGCAAAAGGATGTTTATCTGTACTTCCTCTATCTTACGTCCTTTGACTTCACTCCGCTACGCACCTTCAAACAGCCTAGTTGTCCTAAGAGCGGATTCATCCCCAGATGGGCAAGGGAAAGCCTAAACCTTACTCCGCCAAGCCCTTCTTGCAAAGACCGGTAATGCCACATCTAAGAGAAGAAAGCATCGAATCCTCTCTTTGCTATAGTTAAGATATCCCCTGCTATATCTGCTGTTGAGAATCCTCTTCCAAGGAAGTCTTCTTTTTTTTCTTTCCCCCCAATCGTCTCTTGCAAGAGATGGGCTTTATAGAATCGGATGGCAAAGAGAAAGACTAACTAACACTCTCCATCCTTTCTTATATTATATACGCTACGCTATTTGCAGTGAAGTGCCTTATGCCGAAAATTGTCTTGCACATAATCGTCTTCATCCCATGCTGCTTGACGGAATGCCTTCTAGAACGAGAGTGAAGAAAGAAGGGCAGAGAATGTCTTTTTTCTCGATAGCCAGTCGCGCATTCTTCCTCTCTTACTTTCCCTTTCGCGGGTAAGTAGATAGTCGGTCCCTTCCCTGGCCCCGCAACCAAGAGTCACTCGTCGAAAGCTTGATTGACCAGGAAGACAAGCAATAGGAAAGAAATCCCAATAAGGAAAGCCATTAGCCAGCAGGCAAGTAGTACGGCCAAGACTCTAAATAAGAAGACTCGCCAAAGTCCAGCTTTAAACATCCGGAAAGAAGATCAAGCGAAAGCCCAGCGGCTAGAATTTCTATTGAACCTTTACAGCTACAGTGCCCAGATCGTTACGCCTTTCTTTCCTTTCGGACTAATAAAAGCAACCAAGACTTAGCAATGGCAATGGCGTCCTCTGCAAGCGTAGCAGTTGGTGGAAGGGGAAGAGGAGGTCGTATACGGGCCTTAACCAAATCGAGGTGAAAATAAGCCTATTTAGGGTTAGGTAATGAGGAATTTGAAGTGCTTCACTGAATAAGTGAAGGAATGGGTTCAACTTGGAGATGGAAGTATTGAAAGACAGATCGACCAATGGGATAGCAAAGATCCCGAAAAAGGCTACCATTCCGGCTTTGAAGGGAACGGAGGGAAATAACTCAGAAAGTCAGGGAGCTGCTTGCGCTCAGGGGGAGCTCAGTAACAGGGTCTTCTTTCTGCCTCTGTATTCGCTACTACTTCTTCTTAGCTCTTAGCTAGGGCAATACTCCTAAGAATACTCCCAAGTAAGGGAAGCTCTGACCAGAAGATGGAATCTGTACGGCGGATAGGTGCATCTGTTGAAGGCATTCGAGCCCGCTTGACGGTCCCGTCAAAGCAGTTCTTTTTGGTACATTCCTTTGCCTAACTATTCTAATTATATAGTATATAGTTAGTTATAAGGGAATGAACTGAAGGTTTGAGAAAGATCTTTGAGAATCATCCTTGAGCAGACTGCTCCACAAGAACCCCCCAACCCCCGTATTAGGGCTACGAATCTTTCGTTTTTGGTATCTCTCTCAAGATTATAGGTTCCTTCTGAAGGAATTATTATCGCTTAGCGCTTGTGCTAAGGAATGGTGGCTTTTTTCGTACTTTTAGCAGCTAGGGAACGAGAGCTACAGCTACCTTGTCTTAGGATAGGAAAGGCAAGGACGGTCCGATTAGGTTTGGGCTTTGGCTTTGGATAAGATGTCCTCAGACTAAGAGAGGCACTTAGAACCATCTCGAGCCTACTTAATTAAATAGCTTACTGCTTTCTAGCCGGCTTTAGGTCCTTGGCTGAGCAGAGGAGGAGAGAGGTGTTGGGGGACAGCCTTCCTCTTGTGGTGTTGTGGAGCGTTATCTGCCTTTACGGGTTCATCCCGCTAAGGAAAAGCTCCGGATTTTGTTTGAGCCTTTCTCCCTACTCTTTAACCGGAATAGCTATAAGTGCGTCGGTTGATGGCGACTTGCCCAGTTAGTAGGTACCCTTCTTCCCTTTCACTTTAGGAAGAAAGCTATTGATTAGAGAACTACCAGCTCCACTGACTCAATAGGCGAGGAATCGCTGGAAAAGGCATGATCACCGGCGATACAATCGAAGGAAGGAACGCCGGAAGAGGTCAAACTTCGCACAGCGTAGGACACAGCAAGACGTCAAAGAGTCAGATCTTACGTCAGCAACAGTGATCAGAGCAGCGAGAACAGCTAGCTGAGAAAGTGGAGTTTACCTATTTGACCCCAGATCTCCAGTCTCTCTCGGAGTAAGCTCCCTTCTGTCAATAAAGAAGTGAGGAATCTCTTAGAATCTCGGTGAAGACAGGCTTCTTTAGCACAGGCAACTCCATCAACTACAACGACGTAGGCGAAAAGAGGCTTTCTTAGCTACCACGTCCGGGCAAGAGCTCGCCGCCTACAAGGCTGATCCGAGGGTACGTGCTGAAGAACAACAAGCTCAAAACAGAGATCGCTGGTTAAAGAATAGGCTCATGACTAGGGAGAGGCTTTCTCTTCTTGACTTCATCTTTGGAGGACAAGTAGCAGCAGCAAGATCCGGTATCTCAAGATGGAAAACCATTGGGAGACCCAGTGTTTCCACCCTTCACTAATCTCGACATGGGAGAAGGAGTCACGGCAGCTCCTATAATAGTTCCGAGTCGGACAGATGAAGGGACCAGCTACATTCACCAGCAGCTCAACAGGACAAATACAGCTACCCATCCACCATACTATGAGTTGCACTACTCATGAGCTCTAGTTGAAAGGCCTATGAAGAAGATCGGTCAATCGGAAGTTTAATGAGAAAAGTAAAGAAGTTGTCCAGTTTTTAGAAGTGCCTAAAGATTGGTGCCTTATTCATGCTGTTGATACTAAAGCTATGAATTAGGCCCCTGGGAAGAACTCAAACCATTGGTTGATCTCTACTATATACATGCAGCTGAGCTGGAATGCATGCCACAAAAATCATTTTTGAATTTCCGCCTTTCATAATAATTGAAGTATGGAAGCATGGGACGGCAGGCTGAGAATGCATTCGATAGGACAAAGATGCGAAGGTTACGAAGTAAGGGCAGTCTCTTTACTGTGGTTTACCGACCTTCCTTCCTACCTGGTGAATACGCCATACTATAGATCTCCCACTGCTGATGGTTCAATTAAATATAACATTAAATCGGCTAGGGAGAGATGGAGCCACTGGCGCTATTGAGCCCTTCGATTCATTTCTCCGGGAGGATGCACTAGCAGGAGCCTTGATTGAAATGACTTTAGTCCCGAGGTTTGTCTGAAGGAGAGAGGACCACCAGAACTATGAGCTAAATAACGGACGGATGGATTTAGAACGGATGGAAGTTCACTCACAGACTTAGACCGCCATAGGAAGAATCAGAACGATGGAGAGACAGAGAAGAAAGAGGATAGGAATGCCAGCCGCTTGTAAGGGAGTCTCTGGTCTTTGGATCTTGGTCATCGTTGGTTCGCATCGTTCAATCAATCCCCGAATTAGCAAGCAGACATCTTTATATGGAACCGCGAGGGCCCCCTTTCATGGTTGTAGAAAAGGTTTTTTTGTTCGAATCCTTTGGTCGTACAATAACAAGTTTTTAAGTATATAGTCTTCGATGAAAGAAAGAGAACAAACAAAAAAATAATGGGAACAATCAATATTGGTGATGCAAGCATTGCTGTATTAGATCCAAAGGTTTTTTCTTGACCTAGCAAGGACTCTTAAATATTAAAAGAAAGTAGAACCTAAAAAGAAGAACATCGGATGTTTATTTAGGTTTGGAACCCTCTCTTTTTTCCCCATCCGCAGGAGGAAAAATTCAGGTTGCTGTTCAAGTTAGTGAAGTTATTTCAGACCGGAATCACGCTCTGTAGGATTTGAACCTACGACATCGGGTTTTGGAGACCCACGTTCTACCGAACTGAACTAAGAGCGCTTTCTTATCACAGTAGATACGACTGTAAAGAAAAGGATTTTTTTTGTACCCCCGCATGTCAAAAAAAAAAGATTTTTTATGTCCCCAATTTGAATCGAATTCAATGGGTCCCTCGTTACTGCCCAGAGGAGAAGTCATAGGTAGGAATGACAGGATTGGGACCCGTGACATTTTGTACCCAAAACAAAGGCGCTACCAAGCAGCGCTACATCCCTTTCAATTGGTCTACGATGGTCATTGTAGAGAATCCCTGCCCTGTTTTCCACATCGTTATTTCCTCCATCGATATCAAATTTCTCTTGCCATTTATTTTTTTGGGTCTTTATTGATTTATATACTCATCATCCCGCCGCTCCTACCAACGCTTACTTACTTATTCAAAGGGGTTCTAAATAAAATAATCAGCCCTTTGAATAAGCGAGGCTTTCCCGATAGAAATAGTTGCATGCGAAAGAGATCCCAATTCCGTGTATCCGGTTAAGCAAGCCCTGCCGCCAGCTTCCACCCAGACAAAAAACGTGAGCGCCTAGCGCGAAAGGTTGCTTTACAAAAAAAAAAATATAAGGCGCATTAGCGCTTTAGTTTTCAATTCAATAAGGGGCGGAGCTTGAAGAAGCGAAGCGAGCCTAGAGTAGCAGCCTATTACGTTTGTTTTTGGCCCCTTTACTTGATATTAGTAAAGCGCTAGCGCCCCTATAGAGTAAGGCTCTTCTGCTATCAATGAAACCGAAAGAAACACAAAAACCCAGTGCGTTTTGTATAGATCGAGACTTGTAGCTTGATTCTTTACTCATTCCATACTGGGAAGAATTGCAGGAAATCGTTCAATAACACTTCTTACTATTTCTCAATGATATCCGATGATCAAGACAATTCCCGCGAAACTCTTTCATTTCATAGAAGTTTATTCTTATTCTTACAAAGCAAATAGCATTTCCTATTGATTTGTCCCCTGGACTGGACCTATTCTGATTCTGAATTATCCGTCGCTACGCTGTTCCCAAGGACTAGCAAAATCGAAATAGCGAAATTCTTGGGTCATCTCAATGGGTTCAGAAACCACACGTTTCTCTGGATCATCATAGCGTACTTCCACATATCCACTCAGAGGAAGATCTTTTCGTAATGGATGACCCTCGAAACCCATAATCTGTTGATATACGGCGTAGATCCGGATGATTGATGGAAGAAACACCAAACATATCCCAAACTTCTCGCTCCCACCGGCCGGCTGATGGAAATAGACTGACTACCGGAGATATTCGTGTTACTTCGTCTGCACTGGTTTGTACACGAATGCGTGAATTATACCGAGTACTCAGTAAATTATAGACCACTTCAAATCTTCGTTTTCGAGAAGGATAATCAACTCCGCAAATATCGATCGAAACTTGAACCCTTGTATAGGTATGCAATTTAAGAAAGCACAACAATTGAAATGGGTAGTCCGTATTGGTATCAGACCTATTCCCATGTTCTGATCTTTCCATTTTTTTTACCCATTTCTTGGGTAAAGTCTCCCAACTATATTTGAAAATGAATTGGTTATCCATAATGATTAAGATTCACTTGTAGTTCCGCTTCTTGTTCTAACAGAAAGACTTGTCGGAAATCTGGTTGGTCCAACCAAGAAAGGCATGGGAGTCTTTGGGCGTATTTCATACGCAATTTCTTTTTTCTTTTTCTATTTGAATAGAAATCTCCCTTCCTAATATCTAATATAAAGTGGTTGCATTTTATCGGTCTATATATAGATGTAGCTAATGAACCAATACCCAATGCTGCGCTAATTGGATGCCCAACATGAGCAGTTCCACCTGAAGCACCGGCTAAGTGAATGGAAAAAAGATAACCAGTTGACGAGGCACAAGGGCGGGTGTAGCTGATTGTACTTCCTCTCTGCCAGACCCAACCCTAAAACTAATAAAAAGAAAAGAAAGGGGAATCAGAATACATTTCCTCGAGCAAGCAAATCAAGAAAAGACTCACCCTTGCCATGGGCGATAGCGGCTATGTCTAAGCAGCTGCTTTCCCATTCATTCCATAGGTAAGTCTTATTTTTTGCTGTAAACGAAGAAGGAATGATTCAATATCATATCATAAAAGACCTAGATGCTCTAGCTCCAAGAAAAGACTAAGAAAACTCCTTAAAAAGAGAAGAGTCAATCCTCAGCGTCGGATTCTTCTTATGCTGATTGACCTAGCCGTGCGTTTCCAACTGTTATGACTGGGAGCTAGGCGCTATTTAGCCCTCCATTTCTAAAGCAAGCAGGGGAGCTAGACTCGCTCGACTGAAAAGGAACGAAGTAGCTTGATTGATGAAAGGAACGAAGTAGCTTGACCGCGGGCGCAGGGAAAGGAGAGGGAGTCACCGAAGAGAAAAAATAAAGGTTCAAGACAATGAAAAATATAAACGCAGGAAGGAACAAAAGTCAAGTATGTAATCTAGCAGTCATGAGAGCAGGTTAGAGGCAAGCCGACCTAACCAACCTACGATATATAGTAACCGACCTACGAATATAACTTTGGGTTAGGTTGAAAAGTCTAGTTGGAAAAAACAGATCAATCGCATCCCAAAGGGTCAAGGGCTGAGTTGCACATTCTATTTTTGGCCTCTTTTCTTAAGTAGAATGAAATGTTCGGCCTAATCTATGATATTGTGATTATGTTACTGTTATTTGGTCTTTTTCAAGCTTCCCAGAGTTGTCCTTCAGCAAGCAATTATAGGGGTTGAAGGGGTACCCTTCTAGGTCGTCGCTTTAGTGGTCTAATTTCGGTCTTTTTACGTTATGGAGTTTACTCACTTCTTTTTTATATTATTAGAGTTGAGTCTGGTATCGATAGATTGGCAACCTCTAGGGTACAAGCCCCTCCAGGTACACATATATGGGCTCTAATCCCAGGTTAAACTATCCAGTCGAACTACGTAATCAAATAATCCATGGAAGACAGGGGTTGATCGAGTTTTGTACCCTTTATCGTTTTTGGGTATAGGCTGATAGTTAGGCGGGACTCTCACACCAAAAAAAAAAAAAAAAAAAAAAAAAAAAAAAAAAAAAAAAAAAAAAAAAAAAAAAAAAAAAAAAAAAAAAAAAAAAAAAAAAAAAAAAAAAAAAAAAAAAAAAAAAAAAAAAAAAAAAAAAAAAAAAAAAAAAAAAAAAAAAAAAAAAAAAAAAAAAAAAAAAAAAAAAAAAAAAAAAAAAAAAAAAAAAAAAAAAAAAAAAAAAAAAAAAAAAAAAAAAAAAAAAAAAAAAAAAAAAAAAAAAAAAAAAAAAAAAAAAAAAAAAAAAAAAAAAAAAAAAAAAAAAAAAAAAAAAAAAAAAAAAAAAAAAAAAAAAAAAAAAAAAAAAAAAAAAAAAAAAAAAAAAAAAAAAAAAAAAAAAAAAAAAAAAAAAAAAAAAAAAAAAAAATTGTGGGGCCGATATCTCTCATCATCATCCTCTCTGAAGGTGGAAAAAACGATGAAAAATGCCTTTTTGGAAAACACTTAAATTTTTGCGTTTTTCTTTTCCACCTTAAAAGATGGAGGGAAATGTATGAGAGGAGGAGCGTTAGAAGGGCGGAGGGAATAGGGGAGAGATGAAGGGGGAATGTGTGAAATAAAAACTCAAATGAAAGTATAATGTTTCTAGGTTTTTAACTTTTGATTCAATTTCAGTACCATTCCATGTACGTGTCCCTCAGCCATTCCCTTTCCCCTCTCCTCCCTTCTCTCTTTTCTCTTACATTTTCTTTCCTATATTTCACTGAAAAAAAAGGGTTACATTTAGAGCGGAATTACAATGCAGTACAGCAGAGGGCATGTCAAGGTCAATGCTCTCCATACAGATACAGTGGCTGATCATTCCTTCTGGCTATTTTCACATTAAATCACAGAATATAATTATGTTATATAGAAGAAACATAATAAGTCAGTATGCTGGCCCAAACTTCCATACCAGCAGTTATTTTTCACTTTAACTCTCTTGATGTCTTCAGGAAATCGATCTTGGGGCTCTAAAATTATTCACTAAGCATATGTGACCAAAGAGTTTGAGAATTATTGTGGAAACCCTCCTGAAACCGTCCATGATTTCTGGATGCAATTCCTTGGGAATTCTCCTTCCAGACCTCATTTTAACATAGCACAGCTGTCTATCTTTTTTATATTCAGCCTAGTCAAAAGACTTCCAACCCGGTCTTTGACCTGCGCCTCCGGCCTTAAAACACTAGCAGGAGGGGTGCCATATACTTACGAACAAATCTTAAACATGGCAAAACTGGCCTTCAAGCAAAGCATAAGCAAAAACTGCCACTCGAATGCATAATTACTAATTGGAATACTATGTGATGGAAGCTCCCATAAATGAGGACCAAAGGCTGGAATGACATAATGTAATACTTGGTCAGTTAGAGGCTCATAGTAAGGTTGGGTATCTGTTGGGGGTGCGGAGAAAGTGCATAGAGACGAGCCATACTCAACAAGCCATTCTGATTTCACACTCGTAACACCATGCATGTACGGACGTCTTGTCTGTATCAACTCACTGTATACCAAAAACTCAGGGGCTGAATTAGAAACAGATGACCAACGGTGGAGGAACACAATCTCTTTAACCATGCAGGCTTGATACCGAACTGCATGAACTTTTTTATCTCCTAAAGATAACCCGGAACTTCCTCTAATGCGTTTGGCAACCCTATCTGCCCAACCAGCGCAGATAGCTTGGCCTAGGAGCTCTTCCTCATACAATAATAGAAGGTTCTTATCATGGGAAACCCTCCAAACATTTTCTACATCTTTCAGACTTCCAAAAATCCATGAAAAATCCTTCTCCCCACTAGAAACACCACTTTGGTTAAAGACAAGTTGGAGTAGTTGCTTTCTCAGCTTGGACATTTCCTCCATTGTTTTTGGGTGTAGACCATTGACATTACAGAATTCCACTGGGCTCTCCGAAAGTTCATAGCACTGCAAAGCATAAGCTACAGACAGAGCATCACTGCTGGGATTAGAAAATTTTTCACGAAACATTTTTACAGTTTCTTTTAGTTTCTTCCTTCTCAACTTCTCTTGCTTGTCCATGACTTCAATGTTCACAGTGCCACTGGAATTTCCGTCCTCATCTAAGTCTTGGCTTTTTGTGTGACTATCTTCAAACTGCCTGACAAAAGGATTTGACAAACTCAAAGCAGCTGCTGCTGCAACTGCGTATGCTAGCACTAAATTAGCCCTAGAGTAACTCTTCCCCTTACTCATTACTTGAATAACCGTAAGGAGCATCCTAGAATGGCGAGGACTCATTGGGAAATCAGCCATGGCCTTCCCTAAAGGTGTCAGTCTTCCATTGCTGTCAAGTGCTTGAAGGATCTTTAAGCAACGCTCAGCTTCATCCAAGGCAGCACCCTCTGGAGGAGTTGGAAATGGAAAATTGGATACCTGGGATGGACACAAAAAAAAGGTCATATACTATAACAGCAGTCCAGACGTAAAAGATGACACACAAGAAACATGATCTCTAAATAACATAACGGTAACAAAATAAAGCAAACTTTCAGGTGAAACAAGCCAACGCTGCCCAAGAACATAGTAAGAACCATCCAAAACCATGACATTAGAAGATGAATGAAACATCTACAAGCACTAAGATACAAAAACCAACAGGTTCAGAACACCAAACCTAACCCCAATGAGATCAGTATTGTCAATTTTATGTATAGTCAGTGGGTTGCACATGAAAATCTTGTGAAGTTAAACTATATCCCCACCTCAAAAATCAAGCTACTGAAAGAAAACTTCAAAATGTTTAATTGCATATTAATAGCTTAAAGTTTGGCCAGGAGACATTTTGGACCCACCTTATCAATATTCATGGATTTCATGTAAAGTACAACACCATCAACAGGGACTTTAGATATTTCAGCCGGAGAAAAGTCAGGAAATATGTTACTATATGCTGCAGAAGAATACAGACGGTAACAGTATCCAGGCCCCGTTCTTCCAGCTCTTCCTGCACGTTGAGCAGCTGATGCCTTACTTATCCACTGTACTTCATATGTTTCCATGCCATTTGAGGAATTGTAGCTCTTCACTTTCTCTCTTCCAGTATCGACAACGTACTTTATCCCAGGTATAGTTAAAGATGTTTCAGCCACATTGGTGGCCACAACAACGAGCCGTTCTCCTTCCCTGACTTCTTCAAATACACGAAGCTGATCTTTCGCATGGAGCATGGCATAAAGAGGGAGAACATGCAATGTACCCGGAGAAGTATTCTCTTCAAATCCATTCTTTTTTCCCATGTTAGGATTGGATTGGTTGTGGCAAGCGTTTGGAGTAACTGAAATAGGTTGTTTCTCATCAGAGTTGAAGTTAAATGAAGTTTTTGCATCTAAAGCTTCAAAAGCAGCCTTCAGTTGAGTAATGCCCCCTTCCTCTCCTAAAACATTTTCAACATCACCATCAATTTCCGGGCTAGCTTGGATGAATGAGCCGCCATAGTCACCAATAATTTCCAGTTCACTCTCTGTTTCTGAATCATATGAATCATCCAGCCCATCGTCATCTATATCAAACTGATCTTCATCATTATAGCTAAATCTGTCAGTTTGATGGTCAGCCGAATTTCCATGAACCTCAAATGCTTCATTGATCTCCTTCATGTCTATTTCCTCAGTAGAACTTCTTTCAGAAACTTCAGTGACATCGCTCCTAATATCCCCTTCAGATGTTTTTTTAAAACGTTCCTTTGAAACTCTACGTAGCTTTCGACACAAATACTCTACTTCCCTCTGCCCAGTGACGAAGACAAGTATGCCCCCGCGTGGCAGCCTCTTGTGAATTGCCAAGACTTTTTTACATGCTTGCCCAATATAATCCTCTTCCTTGGTTCTGCTTGAAAAGTAAATGGTTACAGGAAATTGTCTGGTGGGAACTTCTATTACTGGCGGAGGATTGCAAAACAGCTTTCTACCAGACATGAAGTCTTCCACTCGCAAGGTGGCACTCATCAGAACAAGCTTCAATGGAAAAATCTGTTGCCCAGTACTTATAGTTCTTCCTGAAAGCACCCCCCGTTGCTGCTCTGCATATTTTTCCTGCCATCACATGCAAATGAGTACGAAAAATGGCTCAAAAACCTTGACTAACAAATTTTTTCATGATCAACACTATGGAGCTTTACCTCACGAGCACGAATTACACGTGAAAGCATTCCGATAAGAATGTCAGTGTTCAAGCTCCGCTCATGAGCCTCGTCAAGAATTATGACAGAGTATCGCTTCAGCAAAAAGTCATTCTGTACAATAAAGAGCTTTGGTTTAAGTACAAGGACAAGGATAATTAAATCTAACTAAACTCCATAAAATTTCATAAAATAGTGACATGATGAAAGATTGGTACCAAAAATAAAAGTTGGAAACAGATCCCAAGAAGTAATGATCGATACTTGTACAATTGAGAGAGAGTGAAACCAAAACCGATAGAAATTCAGTTCAGGGCTGAATTAAACCGGGCCATTGCGTGCCTTGATGAAAAATTAAATTGTGCAAGTACAAGTACTTTTAGTAAAGGGGAACAGTATCCAAAAATCTAGCTGGTTTCTCTCATCTTATCCAAAAAAAAAAAAAAAAAAAAAAAAAAAAAATAAAGACATTAATGACAAGCTGCAGTATTAATATGATATTTTATAGGATGAGCACTGTTGGTACCTCACACGCTGCCCGTCTAAGCCTTGAGACACATCCAAGGCAGTACCAATATGATTCCCTATTGACCGCCCACTAGCAGTCCATTAAGCCCAATGGGTACCCATTGCCCATTATATATGCATATCAAATTAATACTGCAGCTTGTCAAAGCATTTTTATCCTTTTTTCGTTTTTGGATAAGATGAGAGAAACCAGCTATGAATGTGAGTGAGGAGAAAAAAAATGAGAGAGAGAGAGAGAGAGAGAGATCTACTAAGACTTAAGATATATACAAATAGTCAAAACTTAAAAGGGTTTTTCTTTTTAAGAAAAGAGAACCATGCTGTTCGGCTCATCCCACAATGTGTTCCCATTATATAAAAACCATCTATTTTGCAGGTTCCCTTCAAAACCATTCATGTAAAACATTTCCCAAATTGTAGAGAAATGTCGTAATTATGCGTAAAATAGTTTGCCCCAGGATATATATATATATATACTGAATTTTTCTATGTTAAAGATGTCCTTATTTTAAGAAAAGTACACAAATCCTTCCTAGGGCTACCCAAGGATATATTTTACAATGATTGGAACCATCTATATTTTAGGTTATTCTTCAAGGATTATACCTGCTAATAAAAATTCAGATCAGAAGTTGCCAAGGATAATCAAATGGCTAAACAATTTCTGATTTAGCTGAGAAGCTAAAAACTGAATGGTTCTAATCACTGATTCAATCATCCAAACCGTATATGTATCAATATGAAAACAGAACCCAACCTTAATAGAAACCCAAATAGAGAAACTTATTATTTGATGCATAGTTGCTCAAATCATGATAGAATTAACAAGATCGGTTGCTTAAAGAACCTGAAGTTCCCGTAGTAAGATTCCATCTGTCATGAACTTGATGGAGCAACTTTCACCGATCCTTTTGTCATACCTAACTTGAAACCCGACCTCTTTACCTAAATGTAGACCAAGCTCATATGCCACTCGCTTAGCAGTCGCAAGGACTGCAACACGACGAGGTTGAGTAACACCAATTATACCACTTCGGACACAAGAAAAGCTTGAACCAAAGCCGGCTTCAAAAAGAAACTGCAACATGTCAACCAAAATGCAGAATTAGGAGCTTCAAGGGATCAAGAATATAAAATACATATAAACATAACAACAATAATATGATAATAAACCCACCTGTGGAACTTGGGTGGTTTTACCACACCCAGTCTCTCCACATATAATAACAGTGGAATGGTCATTAACAGCCTCCATTATCTCCTGCTCCATCATTACTATCGGAAGATCCTTCCTTGCATTTTCAACTTCCTCAGGCCTTGATACATGCACTATAGTTGGGGCGATTAGAGACCTCGGTGTAGGAGAATTTGATAATTTACTCGTCCTGCTGAAATTTACATTTGGTGTTTCTTTTACTTTGTCCTGTCCCAAATCCACCCCCAGTCTCCAGTCAGTCAGTAACACCAGTCATAAATAAATAAATGCCACTCAGAACATATAAAAACTGGTAATATCACATTTCTGACTACTGTAAGAAACAGGAACATGAATAGCATGTTGATCGCATTGTGCTCATAGTTATCCTGATACCTATCAAAAATCCAAATGTGATCTTGGATTGCACATCTTACAAGTATTATAAAACCATTCTGAAATTTAGAATCTAAAATTATTTGCTTGTTCCTGTTTTTCTTTTCTCTATTGAAGGGCAGGCTGCAGGAGGGGTATCACAACGTATAGAATACATGCCATAAGAGCAACAAAATTTCCTTTTTTAAAAGTATCAACCAATAATGGGATTTCATGTAATAGGTTCAAAAAATAGTAACATAAAAAGACAAGATACTTAGAGGAATACTCAATATGATGAAGACGAAACATACCATCTTCATGCTTTGACTATCATCATTCACACTTGAAGTGGGCAAAATGTTTATGTCTTCTCGCAAAGAAGTGTCATGTTTGTTGCCAATAGCATTTTTATATGGTGAGTCGGCAGCAGCTCCACCATTCACGCCAAGTCCTCTGCCACTGACTAGACCCTGAGAGGAGTCCAAAGAAATAAATGTGTTCTTTTGGATTTCTGCTGGGACTATCTTTGATTGTACCTGATCATTCTTGCAAAGATCCGACCTTGATTGAGTTTTTTCTAACTCAGGTTCACTTTCACTTTCACTATCTATCTTGTTAAATGGTTGGTCGGTAAGGGGAACACCAAAGCCAGCTTTGGAGAATAGTACAGCCTTCCTACGTTTTTCCTTTTTAGACTCAACCTACAAATAAATAAATAAATAAAAAGAAAGAAAAATCCCCTGTTAAGAAGAAAGATATGCGACAAAATTTTGATTATATTGGTAAACACTTTCGCGGATGCAAACCTTGCCAATATTCTTTGATGACTGCAAAAGAGAATGTGCACCCTCTGGAAGCTTATATTTCCTGGTAATGTAAATACAAATATGTCATCAAACATCACTTGGATAGGAAACAAACTACAATATTAATCACCTATCAAGAAAAGAGGGAGCAGGGATGATAGCCGTACTCTAAGGCCTCAATGCTTTTGGATATGGAAAGCGATTTTTCCTTCTCCTCCTTGAGAAATGAAAAGCAAACAATTCCAAGTTAAGTTAAGAGAACAATGAAACAAAAATGCATTGAGTTTTTCACCTATCAATACAGTCACGCACCTCCAACTTCTTCAGCTTCCTTTGCTGGGATTTGCTAATCATTGTTGCTTTTCTTTTATTGAGTTTTTCACAATCCTGGATAATCAGATTCAGGGAATATTTAATTTGAATACAGCAGAAAATAAAACAACTAGTAATTTAACTTCTGCACGCACCTGATTGGTGCCCTTCCTTTTGTTCCTTCTCTTTGCTGGCAAGATGAGGGTGTTGCTATCACCACCTCCCAAGCTTAAACCCCAAAAAAAAACACGGAAAGAGGATGAAGGTTTAAAATGACAGAAAACGAGTTTTTTGCCCTTCCAATTTAAACAACAAGAGATTATGAACCATGCAGTACATATTTCAGTTAATGGCTGAAGAACTAAATACCTAGGAAAAGTGGCTGAGCCAGTTCAGTTTCCATTGCTCACTCCAAGTTACATGATAGAAATTTCTTTAACAAGTAGCATGTAATTGTAAGCTTTAATTCACGATAGCCCTACTTATATAAAAGTTGAGATTAAGATCATGAAAAAAAACAAAACTTGAGCCCTAGATTTCTGTTGTTCTAGTTTGTCAACCTCATAAACTAACCTAAGGCCCTGTTCTTAGGCAAGTATTTAAATGGGTGTCTTGTAGTTGAAGGAAACTAGCATAGAGGCAAATGAAAAAACAATACAATCCACACCTCAAGTCCACATGCTGTGCACAATTCTCCATGGGAAAGTCCAGTTTGCTCCTCATTTACTTACTTCAACAAACCTGAAAAATATTACCACAAAATTTAATCAAAAAATATTTATTATGAATAAATTGACTTCTAACCATTCAACAATTTATCGATATAACAAATGCGAATGAATCTCTTCCATTTGTTTTCTGGGAAAGTAAAAGAAAGGTGTTGCATACAAACAGACGGGGCAGTGATGATGGAAAAGGGCGGAACCAAATTACCAAATTACCAATGAATCTTCTCCCTTCTTACGCCTCGGTGGTGGAGTTTCTTCTGGAATTTCCTTCTCCTTCTCTCTTTCTCACTCACTTTCTTCTTCGCTTCGTTCTTCTGTTGTAAAAACAAGGCGCGTTGAGGCTCTAGGGCGGGTTTTACAGGGTGCTTCGATAATTGGGGTTTATGCAGGGACAAAATCGGGATTCTGTGTCCGATGGGTATTATCGTAAAAAGGCACATGAAACTGGCATATAAAACTCACATGGGTATTATCGTAAAAACGCAAAATAAACAATTTTAAAAACTAAAATTCGAATATGAATGGTGGTTCTTCTTTTCTTCAAACTAGCTCCTTGGCACGCCAATTGGTTTTATTTTTTATTTTATTTTATTGAATTAAGAAAAGATAATATAGGTAGTTATGTTCTATAAAAGTAAGACCTATTATTTGATTTTTGTTTTTATTTTTATTATTTTTATATGAAAAAATGTGAATTTATCATATTATCCTCATTTAATTAATAATTTCAATTCTTAATGTTTGAATTAATCAAGAGCATTTTTTGGTATTTTAAATGTTTCACCATTCTCTGCATTTTGCTTTATATATATAGATTAAAGTTAAGGATTATAATGTCTCTCAATTTTATTTAGGCCTTTGATTTTAATTTTTTTTTTATCGCCTTCGATTTTAGTATGTTGCAGGAACATGTTGATCCAAATCTCTGTTTGGCTTCCGAGAAGCTAAAGGAAAAGAATCAAAGTAGTTAAAAGGTTCATTTCAATTGCATTTATGTTGTTTGGGAGCGTATGAAGTCCTACCGCCTGCGACATATTTTTCTCTTCAGTTCTTTTTTGTTCATTTAAATTTGTACTTGAAAAGGAAGCAATTGATGTGTAGTTCAACTATAACTTAACATTAGAACCTCAATCCTTTCGCGGACGATGTTTAGTCACGCTATGCCTCTTGCGTGAGAGCACGTGCAGAGAGACTAGTTTATAAGAAATTAGCAGCTATAGCACTGGTTTCAATGTTTTCCTCATAAATAGCCATGAAATTACTTAAGTTAAATTTTTATTAGCGTGTTTTAGAAAGAATATATACAATTACTTCTTGCAACTGTCATGCCACTTAAATATACACAACACAATTTAATTTATCATTGTAATTGGCAATCTACCACAATGGTTATATACCACCGATGACGGCTATTTGATGTTCCATCATAGTGATAATACTGAAGAAATTAAATATAGCAAACACATTTAAATGTTGAAATAATACATATCCACTTAATCAAGCCCAATCTAACAATGAAGAACGTACAAAAGCAAAAGCGATTTCATTGTACGTTCTTCATTGTTAGATTGGGCTTGATTAATCAAGCCCAATCTAACTAAAAATGTTGAAATTTTAAATAAATTTCAAATTTCAAATTCAGATAAATTTCAAATTTCAAAATTCATATAAATTTCAAATTTCAAATTCGATTTTCACCCTCTAAAAATGTGCCACGTGTCATCTCTATATGCCTAAATTTTTCTATAAAATCAGAGGCTCAGCTCAGCTCATATCTCTCACACTAGATCTTCTCTATATTTTCATTTCTCAGATTTTATAATTCATACTCCATTCTCAATGTCAGACATGAGCAGATGCTTAGAGAGGCAAGAGCGAGAAACTAAAGAAAAAAGGTGTAGATGAGCTGAAGGCAAAAGGGTGTAGAGAGAACTAGATCAACAAGTTGTCATAGCAGTGGTTCACAAGTCAGATGTGGCCCGAATGTGGATAGACATAGGCATTCTTGGGGTAAGAATCTTCTGGTAGATGATTTTATCTCAACTTCTCTATACTTTGATGTTGATTTTCGAAGGCGATATAGAATGAAACCTCATTTGTTCAATAAAGTCATGCATGATATTTGCAATTATGATGAATACTTTGTTCGAAAGTGTGATGCTGCTGGGGTTTTGGGACTTTTTCTCGAAGCTGTATACGAATGTTGGCGTATGGTTCATCTGCTGATCAAGTGGATGAGATTGCCCAGATGGGGAAGTCCACTACTTTGGAGAGCTTGGTAAGATTTTGTGATGCAGTCGAAACTCTATACACCAAGGACTACCTGTGCATACCTACGCCCAGGGACTTCCAATGGCTTCTACAAAAAGCCGAAACTCAAGGATTTCCAAGAATGATTGGTAGCATCGATTGCATGCACTGGCAATGGAAGAATTGCCTAACTGCTTGGCAAGGAGATTATGGAAATAGGAAAAGGCAAAAAAATATCATCCTTGAAGCTGTTGCTAGATTCGATACATGGGTTTAGCATGCCTTCTTCGGAGTTGTTGAATCTCAAAACGACTTGAATGTGCTGGGTTAATCCCTGGTGTTCAACGATGTTTTGAGAGGTGAAGCCTTGAATATCACCTATGAAATCAGCAATACCGTCTACCAGAATGGGTATTATCTAGCAGACGACATCTACCCGAGGTGGACCACATTTATGAAATAAATTCTGCATCCCCGATCCGAGAAGCAAAAATTATTTGTTGTCTATCAAAAGGGTTACAAAAAAGACTTGGAGAGGTGTTTTGGTATCCTCCAAACCCGGTGGGCTATTATTAGGGGTGCAGTGCATCTGTTTGATGAGGAGGTGCTGAGGAGCATAATGATGACATGCATCATCCTCCATAACATAATTATGGAGGATGCGTATGATTACGATAATACAGACGTGTACGAACAAGATCCCATGAACACAGCCTTGACAAGAATTTATGAAAAACCCATGGGGCCAAATGGAGAACCATTGGAGCATGAACCGTTGGTTAGGGAAAGTCGTTTCATGACCCGTATGATTGATCGATATATTATATTCATGAACGACGTCAAGTTGACTTGATGAAACATTTATGAGAGTGAAAGGTAATGACAGTGAATGGTTGTGGTTTTTTTTTAATAAATACTTTGGTTGTGGTTTGTTTTTTAGTTATACTTCAGTTGTGGTTTTTATGTATGGAATGTTTTGAATAAAAAGGTATTGTGTTGAATGCTTTCTTTATTCACTCAAAGAAAACCAATACAAGTACTTAAGAATTACTACTAATTTTTAAAACAAAACATTAAAATACAATGAAATTAAAAGCAATCAAACTAACTTAATGCCCCTCCGGTTTCGATACAAGAAGCCATAAGATGATAAAGAAAATAAAATTTGAAAGTGAATAAAATATTAAGTAGAAAGTGAATAGTTGAAGGAGAAGAAAATATATGAGGATTTGGTGTTAAAAGTGAAGAGTATTAGTTAGTATTTATAGAAAAAAAAATCATTAATTTTTGGGTAATTTAAACAAAAAAAAATCAAATTTTTTTCATAATTTTATTGCAAAAAAATTGGTTACCGTTGGATTGGAGGAGAAAAATCGATCGGAATGCCCAGAGGCCACCACGTGGCTGCTAACCGTTGGCAGAAAGGCAGAGCCAACGGTAAAAAAAAAATGAAAGCGCGGGCTGAAGCCAGCCTACCGTCAACGATGACGTCACCCAAAACTCAGGCTGGAGCTCGAGCTCGCCTTGACTTCAAGCCAGCCTGGTCCCGTGGGACCCACAGCCTGCTCAGGCTAGACAGGCCCGCTGGAAATGAATTTTGGACTACCCCCCCCCCAACCCTAACTGCTGGAACAGCTCATACAATTTGGTCCAGGAGTCCACTGCACCATACTCTTCCATGACCCACAAGTGAGGTTGACTACCGATCTTGAACTTATTGCTACACTCGAGCAAGGCAACGGACCCCTTATGTTTTGAAATCAATATGTTACAGTCCACGTATGGTGTTGGCTGCGCAAATCTCACGGCCTGGTGTTCCTGGTCGAGGGGATGTGCGTTAACACGTGACGTCCTTCTTTTGGATGCGGTGCGGTTGTACGCAGGCGTGCCAGCACCGTCTACCGTGCGTAGAGATGGTGATGAGGTTTAGGTAGAAGATGGTTAAATGATGCGCCTGTTTTGAGTTTGACTCCTAATCAAACGATTGTGGCCGAGAGAGGAACTGATCTCGGCCGTCAGGTTCACGGCCTGAGCTACAAGGCCGTTTAGTGGTGGTGTCGATGGCGGGTTTTAGACGGTGCTCCGGCGCGTTGCTCAGAGAGCGACGGTCGTATGATATATAGGGTGAATGAGATGATAACAGAGATGGTGCTCCGGTGCCTTGAAAATCAAGGGTCGTATGATATATTGATGAATGAATTATCCTTACAATCTACCACTACTCCTAAGAAAGCAAATAAAGGTATTGAAAGTGCATTACAGGATAATATAATTTGCTCCGTGGGAGGCTTTTGGTTTAGTGTTTGAACCCCTTGAATGTAGTCTTGAGCTTAGTATTTATAGGGGGAGTCCTGGAGGGACAATCGAGGTTGAAAAGATCTGCGTGGTGGAGCCTGATCGGGGCAAGTAGGTAGTCAAGTCGGCATTTGGGATCGTGAAGCATGGTGGTGTGACCCCCATAAATCCCGGTAAATCTCGGCCACCGCCCTGATCGTGGGTTCTGCCCCCTTGGCCGTGGGAAAACATTTAATGCCTTGGTCTAGTGGTTGGTGATCTGACCTTAAGTTGTAAGAATACTTGTGAGAATTTTTGCGCCAAACCACTCTGATTTCCATCACCAAATCTTGACTTCAGTCACTTCCCTTCTTCCCTCGTGCATTAAATGCTTTTTGCGACTAGTGGGTTTGCTGCGATAATTAGAGGCATTACTTCATTAAATGGGGCGTGGGACCCTAAGGCCACGTGGCGATTTAACCACAGTATCTTCAGCCGTGCCTTTTACGGCATTCAGCTTCGGCCTATAATACCGCGGTCGCGAGGCTGAGAGGATTCTGCCTTTGCAGCTTTTCTTTTGTTTTCAGGAAGGCGAAATGCTTAACGAAACGGTAGGTGCTAGGGCCGAGAGGAAGTCTCTTCAGTCAGTTTATGATCGTGATTTATTAGGCACAAACAATGGATATTCTATTTTTCTCACACCTTGAGGCATCATTATCTCCCCAAATAATTCAATGCTTATATCAAAGGACACAATGACAAGGTCCTTCCCTATTTGTTCACGGAGTTGAACCCAATGCAGCGCATCATTGACAACAACCCAATAAGAGAAAGGCCATGTAGCAGTGACGCCAAACCCAAAATATGCAGGAGTTGACGCGGTAAGGGTTCCAGGAGCCCTTGGCTAAGGAGTAAATCTCAACTACAACTAGTTTAGAATAATTACTCACACGTCTCAAAACCTTATAGTCGTTGGTGTGAGAATCATAGACAAAGTAGTGACGAACAATGTCATCATTTTTTAGATATACAATAAAATTAGGCCTAGGCAACACCATATACCTTCTAATTGAAGGGTTCCAAATAAAGATGTCAGTCGCAGCTATGCCGTCCTTAGTACAAGTAAGGCATATAAGCCCGTTACTAGTTTGGAAGTGTTGAAATCAGTGTTTTCGTTCAAAATTGGCGGATTTATAAGCTTGATAATATAGTTAGCAACACCACCAGGTAACGCAGGGTTAAGGATAGGGTTAGGGGAAAGGATATCCCCATAACACGACAACAAGTTAAACTTTATGTCATTTTCCAGTAGAAGAACTTGACAACCATCGATGATTTGGTGGTTGGATTGGAATATGATAATTGGTGGCTAAGATGGGCATTAATGAAGTTACATCTTTTACCCCATGGCTTGCACACCGCAGTGCACATGATTAAAGATTTGGCCGGCAAACCTCAGGAGGATTTCATGTACAATTTCTTCAAGAATGGAGGTGAGTTTCGACAAAGATGTGGAGTCCATCTCTCCACAAGCAGTTTTCTGGGATCAATGAGAAGAAGAGACTGGTGGTGTTTTGATTTTCTAAAATCTAGTTCTTATATGATATATATGCCGATGTACGGAAATACTAGTGCAAGAGAGTTGATAAAACTCTCATAGCCTTTTAATTTTAATTGATATCACGTCATGGAATCACAATTCTACTAGAAATAGGAAATCTCAACAAGCCAAGCCAATTTAAAACACCATTTGAATATTAATGACAATTGAATTGCATGTTCAAAATATATTTAGCACAATCAATGGAGAAAGCAACAATTGTAAATATGTGGGGTATTTTGAGAATCTGAAAAATTATAATAAATCAGATTTTGAGTTTGATAAGGTAAACTTGATGGATTGGATCCTAGTTATGGGTTTTACCTATAAAAGTTAAGGTTTTACCTATAAAAAAATGATTTTTAATAATAGGAACAAAAAGTGATGAGTTGCGTATTTTAGGAATGATGAGAGCTTTAGGACGGTGTATTCAATTTATATTTTAAAAGAGTTGTAAAGTTGACGGAGTTTAATTGAATTTAATTGAGTTTGAATGAATTCTACAAACTCCACATAAATTTTGACTGAATTCATGTATAGATTTTAACTGAGTTTGTTAGAGTTTTATTATTGATTTTAATGGAGTTTATATTACTCAAAAAACAAAAGGTTTAGAGGTGATGACGTTGGTAGCGACCGGCAGTGGCGGTGGTGATGATGATTTTGTGGGTGATGGTGGGGAGGTAGTGGTGGAGGATGTGGGGGTGGTAGTAGTGGTGGCGGTGGGAGTGAGGTGGTGGTGGGAATGGCGGCGGTGGCAACGGTGGTAGTGATGGTGATGATACTGGAAGTGGCTGTGGTGGTGGTGACCGTGGGGGTGATGGTGGGGCTGATAGTAGGGGTGGTAGTGGCGGTGGAGGTGGCAATGATGGTGATGGTAGTGGCGGTAGTGGGTGATGGTGGAGGTGATGGCAAAGGTGGTGGTGCTGGGGGTGGCGATGATGTCAGCGATGGTGGTGGTGGTTGTGGCGGCAACGGTGATAACCATGACAAGATGGTGGTAGTAGAAGTGGTGAAATCATATCATGAGAATAAAAATTAATATATCTATCAAAATCTCGGGGGGAGGGGGGCGCTAAAGATTTTTCATGGCCTAAAATTAGTCTATAATCAAACGAAATCCATAACTTTTTGTATTTCCTTTAAAATCAATGATTTTTGAATATACCCAACCTTTTATGAAGTCTTTTAGAGTTGTGTTTGAATACATCCAAATTTGAATGGAGTTTAAAAAGTCTGAATTGAATACACCCAGAATTGTATAGACTTCTATAAAATCGTAATTGAATACACCTGAACTTTTAAACTTCTTTAAATTCTTTTAAAATCTAAACTGAATACACCCCCCTTTGTTATAAAATAGGGTTGGTCTAATATAGGCCCTTATAATTTCTCTTTTGTAGACATCAACCCATTAATTTTGAAATCTATGTATAAAACCCAAATTCAAATTAAAATGCCTCGTAAGATATAAAAGGTCATAGTACTCCTACATATTTACATTGTTTGCCACTAAACTTCATATAAGTCAATCTGACGATTTTCAAGTATGTCATTAAGTCCCTCATTTTGAATTAATACTTCCTCATTTATAGCATATCAATGAGTCCCTTTTTTTGCGCATTCCCTCTAATCCCTAAAATTTCTACCAATAAAGAAAATCTTTAAATTTTCGAAAAATAAAAATTCCCTCAACTTTCGTCCTAATAAAATAAAATAGGTAAATTATTATCAATACAATATAATGTACCTACAAATTTACCGATACATCTTGTATATATCCAATATGGCTAGATAAATTATTTTCACAATATACCTATAAAATGTTATGGCTTTAATATACCTACAATATACCCATAATTGATAAATTATAAGTTATATTATTGTATGATAGGAAATTATTAGGTCAATTATATTCAAAATGAATTTATAAAAGTTGGGTATATTATTTGAATAATAAGTAAATTCATACTAGGCAACATTATTTTTCATAAAAGAAGTAATAGGAACGTTATTTTTTCAACATAAAATTTTATGTACACTATTATATTTATAAAACAATAACTTTTTTATTAAATAAACCAATTATGTATGTTAAGTTTGACTTTATTATTAAATTTTTAAAAACTCCAAATTAATTCATACATCTATTTGAAGATCTTTCCAAATTTAATATGTGTCATTAGTTACAATCCAATTAAAAATGGTTTCTATATTGGTTCCTACGTTAATATACAAATGCAATAATGGCTTAGTTAGGGGTATTTTAGGAATAAAAAAAGTTCAATAAATTCAATTTTGCGCTTGGTAATTAGGTAGACTTGGCAGAGTCATTGGGTTCATAGTCATTTAAAAAACAAAATAAAAAAAGTTGAGGAAAAATGACTTTGAAGGGTTAAGCTAAATTTACTATAAAGAGTAAGATGTACTTAGAATGTATAGTGAATTCCATACGAAAGTTGGGTTCAAACAGTACATAAAATTAAATCTTGATTAAAGTAAAGAGTTAATTGGTGATTTGTCACTTGAACTTGTACCTGACTTTCGATTTACCTCATGTCCTTTTTTTTATAAAAAAAAATTATGGATATGAACTTTTTTTACCAATTTCCCCCTTGCCATCTAAATCTGCAACATTTCATCAAATTTGCCTTTATGAAGGTAAAATAGTCATTTTATACGTTAAAATAAATAATAAATAAAATATAAAATACAAAATACAAAATAAAACTTTGAAATAATAGTCTCTCATAAAATAAAAAACTGAAAATTCTCTCTCTCTCTCTCTCTCTCAAGATGGGTTGTGGGCCGGATTTTATGGGTGGGATGGGTATGTTGCTACTGCCCAGAAGGAGGGGAGGGATGAGTCAGGGTCTAGAGGTGGATCTCACAGAGGCAAGGGCTGGGGCATGGGATGGGTATGCGCTTGGGGGGCAAAAAAAAACCAATATTCATTCAGCCATATATTTAAGCCATATTGTTTGATACATATTTTTTTGAAAAAAAAAAAAAAAAAAAAAAAAAAAAAAAAACGTACCGACATCAAAACATTCTGCTACCTTCAAAGTGTGTGGGACTCTAGATCTAGATGAAAAAACCTAAGCCTCCCCACATCATAAAATAATAATTTTCTTTTCTTCGGGTTGATGGGGTTGCTGGAGGAGATAGAGCTAGAGGAGGGGGGTTAGCGATAGGTTTGGTTCAGTGTATTTTTCAATTTTTTCCAAAAGAAATATATTTTTTAAAATGATTTAACTGAAAATTTAATGAAATGTTGAGGATTTAGACAGTAGGGGGGAAATTGGACAAAAAAAAAGAGAGTTCATATCCTTAATTTTCTAGAAAAACAGGATAGGGGTGAATCGAAAGCTAGACATAAGTTTAGGGGGCAAAATCACCAGTTAACCCTAAAGTAAATATTTAGGGTAACATTTTCTGATACATAGTGATTTACAATTGCAAGAAGAAAAAAGAAATTGTAAGATGTACATAGCAGCATTATTTGAAAAAGACTGAGAAGCTAGTTTTAGTATGCTCCCATATGATATTTTATTTAGTTAACCCTAAAGTGTTACAAACATATTATAACTAAAAATTTAAAAGTTTTAAAACAACAAAATGTCTTTCAAAGAAGGAAATAAAATAAAATAAAATAAAATAATGAGAAAGTTAACATGATGATGGTTTGCATTTGTTATTTTAGTTCAAATAAACTATTATATTTATCCCAAAAAGAAAATACATGCATGTGTGCACTTTTTTTCTTGTTAAACTATGATTACATACAAATGCGAATTAAGGGCCTCATCTTATTTTTTGGCCCTAAGCCACTGAAAAGTTAGGGCCGGCTCTGTTCGACTTCAAGCTTTATGCTTTGGATGATGAATTGCACCTTGGTCATAAGGTATGTGAATGTGCATGTGCGTGTGGATGTATATATTTTTGTTGTCAAAGTCTAGGACATGTTTTTTTGTTCAAATTATCGTCAATTTTTGCAAGATTTTATTATTTTGTCTATATTTTTGTTTTGTTTTATTAATTGTTGATTTTCGGGTTTGTTGTAGGTGATGAAGGAGAAGGTTGGAGGCAATTGAAGGGCATGTGTTGGGAGAAGCAGTCTTGATTGCCATTTTTTGATGCTAATTACTTTTAGTTGTTTGGAGGATGTATTTTGTGACTTCTAGCTCATGTACTTTTAGTTGGATCCTTGATTTATAGATAGTTACGGATGTGCGAGACAGTTGGACCAAATTGTGAAGATTTAACAAGACCAAATTGCAAGTTTCTACATAATCCAGAAACACTCACAACAACATACTAAAAGTTGGAGATGATACAATTGTCGAATTTTTGTAGATCGCACAATTAGATGGCGATAAGTTCAAGTAAACGGATAATTGTAGGTATGGAACCTACAAGCCTCGAAATTTCGGTCCATTAGTTTACATACACTCCTAGAAACATCAAAAGCAACATACAAAAAGTTGGAAATAATCCCACGATCCAACATCTCCAATCAAAAGATCCAACATCTCAAATTTAATCTTGTTGCTAGGTTAATCAGTTTCTTGAATATTTGTATTTCTTAATCTTGTTGTAAAATGGGTTTAAATTTGAGAATATGGCTGCGGCTTTTGCGTTCGTAAAGCTAAAGCACTAAATTTGATGAATTATCTGTAGCATTTGTTATTGGGGCTTTGTTCTTTATGACGTTTATGTTTGTTTTAGTTTTGTCATTTTGTTTGGGGATCTATTTTTTTTCTTTCAAGTTTTAGATTTGTCATTTGGTAACAAAATCAAATCTTGTTGCCTGGGTTTATCAGTTTCTTGAGAATTTTTGATAGTCTGTTTGTGTTTCATGTTATTATTTTGTTGCAAAATCTGTAAAAAAAAATTGATGAATTACCTGCATATTTGCATAATATCCTCTGGTGATCTAATTTTTCTTGTCTCTATGTTTACAATTTCAGTAATACTAAGAACTATGGAAATCAAAGAAGACATTGGTGATCAAAGCAGTGAAGGTGGAAGTGGAGTCAACTTTCGCAAGCCCATGTTGCGCCCCTCATCACTTGGAAGTGGAGTTGAAGGTGACCACCTGCCCCTGATCACATACAAACTGCACTTGGGCCTTTACAACCTGCACTTAAGCACATACAAGTTGCACATGAGCACATACAAGATGCAGCTATTCTTCAACAAGATGCAACTCTTCTTCCACAAGATATTCCAGGGCCTGCACCTCCAACTCGTCTTCAAGTGGTCATTAAGATCGGCATGTGGCCATTGATGCTTGGTATGATTTTGGTTTATTACATTCTTTCTCGCATAGCTTCGCAGACAAAAATAAAGAAAGAAGTTTATCACTATTTGCCCTTTCACTTTCCTTCACGACACAGATGACGTCAACTGTGGGATATGGTGACATTGCACCCAATAGTCTTTTGGGTAAAGTTATAATGTCATTGTTGAGTTTTTTTCTTAGTGGAGTGTTGGGCTACATTGGGGATTCATTTTGATGACTTTATGTGATTCTTTTATTAAATATTTGGAACTTATGCTAGTTCATTACATTTTGGTTTATTAAATTCTTTCTCGCATAGCTTCGCAGACAAAAATAAAGAAAGAAGTTTATCACCATTTGCCCTTTCACTTTCCTTCACGACACAGATGACGTCAACTGTGGGATATGGGGACATTGCACCCAATAGTCTTTTGGGTAAAGTTATAATGTCATTGTTGAGTTTTTTTCTTAGTGGAGTGTTGGGCTACATTGGGGATTCATTTTTGATGACTTTATGTGATTCTTTTATTAAATATTTGGAACTTATGCTAGTTCATTGGGGCACTAGTGAGCATAGGTTTAACAATTTTGTTGGCTTGTTAGAATTGCTTTGTGCCACTATTTGCACCTATCTTATGTGTAGTATAGGTATGTTGGAATTTCACAGACTCTCAGAATTTAACTATTTGGATTGTTTGTATCTTTTTGTGATTATCATAACAACACTTGTGTACGGGGATATTGTCATTATGTCGGAGGATGCGGTAATTTTTGCTAGTTTTTGGATATGGTTGTTGAGCTAAATGTACGTACTACTTAAGTTGTAGACTTGCAAGATGTTTGGGAATAGTTTGAGACTTGAGACCACTCAAGTATATTGGTTTGAAATACCATTCTTTTCTAATTTTTCGTATTAAGTCTTATTTTGAAGTACTTATGATTCCATTTCTCCTACATATTTGTCATTGCTAATAATGTTATACTGAAGATTGGAAAGAAAAAAAATGTTATACTGAAGGATGCTGAAAATTAGATTTTATTAAACCTATTTAGGGGCTAGTTAATCGACAACATATATGGATCACGGATTGTTCATGGTCAAGCTCTGCTTATGAAACATAGAAGAGATGAAAGATAGTGAGCATAGGTTTAACAATTTTGTTGGCTTGTTAGAATTGCTTTGTGCCACTATTTGCACCTATCTTATGTGTAGTAATAGGTATGTTGGAATTTCACAGACTCTCAGAATTTAACTATTTGGATTGTTTGTATCTTTTTGTGATTACCATAACAACACTTGTGTACGAGGATATTGTCATTATGTTGGAGGATGCGGTAATTTTTGCTAGTTTTTGGATATGGTTGTTGAGCTAAGTGTACGTACTATTTAAGTTGTAGACTTGCAAGATGTTTGGGAATAGTTTGAGACTTGAGACCACTCAAGTATATTGGTTTGAAATACCATTCTTTTTTAATTTTTCGTATTAAGTCTTATTTTGAAGTACTTATGATTCCATTTCTCCTACATATTTGTCATTGCTAATAATGTTGTACTGAAGATTGGAAAGAAAAAAATGTTATACTGAAGGATGCTGAAAATTAAATTTTATTAAACCTATTTAGGGGCTAGTTAATCGACAACATATATGGATCACGGATTGTTCCTGGTCAAGCTCTGCTTATGAAACATAGAAGAGATGAAAGATTTTTCTTTTTAATTTCCACATAGAAGAGATGGAAGATTCTCCATGAAAGATTTTCCTTTTTAATTTGGAAAGTTTTTTACTTTCAACATTAAATTTCATATGTCAAGTGTCTAATAAATAATCTTAGGGATGGCAATAGGTCGAATTGGGGATGGGTATGTTATTCCCATCCCCATCCCCGTTAAGCATTTTTCTCCCATCCCCGCATTCATACCCGTAATATTCTAAGCGGGGATTCCCCATCCCTGCCTTCATTGGGAAAAAGGTTCCCCTACCCGCCCCATTACTGAAGAAAAACCAATAATAAAAAATATTGTGGAACGAGGAAAAAAAACACTATAAGCGCACACATATGTATCAATTCAATTATTATTAACTAAAAATCTAGACTATATAAAAAAATTTAATACATATCAAAATTACAAGTCCAAGACATGTTCATCATTATAGAGGTAGTCATCACACATCTCAATTGCACAAAGTGATGTTTTCAACTTCTTCAATGTAAGATCCCTGACACAAATAAAACAAAATATAAATTTTACAATAATGTACAGTAAGATATTAAACATCATTATCAATTATATAATATAATTCGTAAACCTCATTCTCAACATCATTATCAGATGTGCAACCCTAGGACAATGCTGTAGAGTTTGAACCCATTCAGAATAAACATGAATAATTAGAAAATACTAAGTAGCAATTACATTTAATGGTAATTTGTATAACATATTTTCAATAATTTTATATAGGGACTCACATTGTCTCAAGCGAGGAAAAACATTTTTTGTATATCATTGCCGTCTTAAGCATCAAATAGGTAGAGTTCCACCTAGTTTTGCAATGTAGCTCTCATTGCTTAGTGCTCTCAATTTTCAATTGATGGGCTACCTCAATAAATTTTTCTGCTCTCTTTGGAGTGGTTGACCAAAAGGCAATACTAGAACAAATTTTCTCAATGCTAGTGTTGATAACATCCAAAGCATCCTTAACAATCAACTTCAATATATGTGCACAATAACGAATGTGAAACAAACTTCCATCCAACAACAGTGAGCCATAAATTTTTTCTAACAATGTTTCAATCATGGAATCATTAGTTGTGCAATTATCTACAGTCAAAGTGGATAACTTATGACCAATGTTCCAATCTAGCAAACAATCCATCAAAGAACTAGCAAGAGTCTCAATTGTATGTGGACATGACACATATATAAATCTAGTACAAAAAAAAAAAGACAAATTAAGTACACAAGCTATAATAGGCATTTAAAATGAAACATATGTTAAAAGTTTTATTTCAAAACTAAATAAATTACCTCACAAGTCGACTTTGCAAGTTCCAAAATTCATCAATGAAATAAAATGTGACGGCCATAAACCCTCACTTTTGGTTATTTGAGGCCCACATATCAGTTGTAATTGCAATTCTACTTTGATTTGTCTCTAGCAACTTCATTGTTCTTTCTCTCTCATACTCAAATATTTTAAAGATGTCACTCTTAATTGTGTTTCGAGAAACCATCTTAAACAAAGGTTGCAAAGCCATTGAATATCTTCTAAAACTGACATGTTCAACCATGGACATTGAGTACTCATGCAAAATAATCATACAAGCAAGCTCCTTCCTCACATTTTGTTGATCAAAATTATACGTACCAAGCTTGACACCCCCATCATTTGATTTAGTAGGATGCAACAAAGATTGCTTTTTATCTCTTTGCTTCCTCAAAGGACATATTTATAAATGATCATGCAAATGTGTAGTTCCATTTTTTCTTCCAGCCGATAGCTTTTTCCCACAGTTATTACACACGGATTTCCATACATCTCCAATCTTTTGTTTTTTAAAATGATTCCAAACAATATATCTTAAATTTTTCTTATTTTGACTGTTATCATCACACCCACTAGAATCTTGGTTTGGTTCTTCATCAGTTGGTTGTGCAGTGTGTTCTTGGTTCTCATCCTCATTCTCAACTTTTATTGAGCATTCAATTAGTGTCTTCATATTTGGAGAATCTTGTTGTTGAGTACCACCGTCAAAGTCCAAAATGTTCTCATTATCAATGTCCATCTATGAATAGGATGTTCAAGAAATCTATTAATAGGTAAATATAACGAATAATTGTCTAAGCATAAACTAAGATATAGTATTGGTAATTCTTATTTCAACTAACAAATTTAGTAATATATTAATATATGTTTTTACCTACAGTGATCATGTTAGATGATATGAAAACTAAAAAAATAGAACCAAAAAAAAAATATTGTCAATGGTTAAAAGTTGGAATCGAGTACCTAAGATAGTGGTGCTTGCAGTATGTCGATAATCTATTCCTTTGACTTTGAAAGAAGGGAAGGTGCAAGTGATCCAAGCTTATGTGTGTGAGAGCCTTAGATGTCGGCTCTGTAAGATGTATAAACAACAACTAAGGCAATATTGAAATCTCTGTAATAATATATTTATATATAATAAATATTCATATTATTATAGAAAGTCATATGTCGTCTGATTTGATATATATGTTCTTAACGAGTCAGGTTCAGGTTGGGGATTAAAATATGATACCCGCCCCTCCCCGATCACCATACCCGATAATTTCTCCATGCTCGTTTTTTGTCGTTCATACCCGACCCATTAGGTCGAAGCCCTGCAAAGACCCTTACCCGTGAGGAAAATTGTCATCCCCAGGATTTTTGTCAAATTTGTTTGCATCATTGGTTTATGTTTCCTGTTATTGTTTTGTTGTAAAATCTGTATAAAATTGATGAATTACCTGCATATTTGCATAATATCCTCTGGTTATCTAATTTTTCTTATCTCTATGTTTACAATTTCAGTAATGCTAAGAACTATGGAAATCAGAGAAGACATTGGTGATCAAAGCAGTGAAGGTGGAAGTGGAGTCAACTTTCACAAGCCCATATTGCGCCCCTCATCACTTGGAAGTGGAGTTGGAGGTGACCACATGCCCCACTGATGCAGCGAGTTTAGCAAATACATACATGGACCATTGGGATTACGTTCATGCATGAGAAAAGTCTTAATAACTTATATCAAATAACTGCATCTTCGTATGTGGGAGTTATCTAGGTTCATTGAATAAAGTTATGGAGAGTCTTTTCATCTTTGTGAGTTATAGGGAGGTTTAATGTGAAGTTATCATTAGGAGGGAAGTTGGGATATGAAAGGTTTAGTAAAGTTATGAGGAGTTATCTCATCTTGATTGAGAGACACCTATAAATAATGCATGAAATTGTAAGAAAGGGAGTTTATGTTTGTTATTGAATGAAGATTGAGATTTTTTCTCTCATCTCTTTAATTTTTTCCTGGGTATTCCCAGAATTAACAGATTAGAGTTTAGTTCCAGGTATTCTTAGAATCAACGAAGTTAAATTTGCTCGAAATTATATCTTTTGTTCTTGTTCCGCTGCATCAGTTGGTCTCAGAGAGGGATTCAGTTGCAAAAATGAAATCATGGTGAGGAACTGCACGCCAGTTATGTAGTTAGTCAAATCTACATTAGCTGTTGTCAAAAAATGGTTAGTGGTGATCATACATTTGATCATTTAATAGATTTGGATCTCCCTCCAGTATTTGATTGATGTTCAAATGGTTCTTGTGAGATTTGTTGTGATTATTATTTTACCGTTGAGAAGGTTTTTGACACGAAATTGAAACAAATGGAATGCATTGAAGAAGTTGTGGAAAATTTTGTCAACCTTCATATTGCAATTGTCGATGATTCCATCACTTTATTCAACTCTCATGATATTTTCGAAGTTGTTGAATATATTGATTTCATGAGGGTTGAAAATTTCAGTCGTCATAGTGCAACCACTTTGGTTGATACCATAATTCAGAATATCTGGTTTAAGAGATTGGCCGTGGAGAGTTTACACAATTGGAGAATATTCAAATATTCAAAATATTTATTTCTTTGGAGTGGGAGATTTCAATTTGAAGACCAACAATTAGTGATCATGATTTTAATCCAAGAAGGCATAAATTTGAGGACAAATTTTTGTCAACCCGGCGAGAATGATACTAATAAGAAGCGTCGTTTTATGGAGTTTAATGTTGGAGATTTTGTTTGGGCCATTCTTACCAAAGATCATTTTCCTGTTGGTGAATATAACAAATTAGCTACTCGCAAAATTGGACATGTGGAAATCCTTGAGAAGATTAATCCGAATGCTTACAGATTGAAGCTTCCCAGCCATGTTCACATGTCTGATGTGTTCAATATGAAATATCTTGTTCCTTTCCATGGCTTCAACTCCAATGATGATCCAAATTTGAGGGCGAATTTTTGTCAACCCAAAGAGGATGATGCAGCGAGTTTAGCAAATACATACATGGACCATTGGGATCACGTTCATGCATGAGGAAAGTCTTAATAACCTATATCAAATAAGTGTCTCTTTGTATGTGGGAGTTATCTAGGTTCATGAATAAAGTTATGGAGAGTCTTTTCATCTTTGTGAGTTATAGAAAGGTTTAATGTGAAGTTATCATTAGGAGGGAAGTTGAGATATGAAAGGTTTAGGAGAGTTATGAGGAGTTATCTCATCTTGATTGAGAGGCACCTATAAATAATGCATGAAATTGTAAGAAAGGGAGTTGATGTTTGTTATTGAATGAAGATTGAGATTCTTTCTCTCATCTCTTTACTCTTTTCCTGGGTATTCTCAGAATTAACATATTAGAGTTTAGTTCCGGGTATTCTTAGAATCAACGGAGTTAAATTTGCTCGAAATTATATCTTTTATTCTTGTTCCGCTGCATCACCCACTCACCACCCACCCCTGATCACATACAAACTGCACTTGGGCACTTACAAGCTGCACTTAAGCACATACAAGCTGCACATGAGCACATACAAGATGCAACTCTTTTTCAACAAGATGTAGCACAAGATGAAACTCTTCTTCCACAAGATATTCTAGGGCATGCACCTCCAACTCGTCTTTAAGTGGTCATTAGGATCGGAATGTGGCCATTGATGCATGGTATGATTTTTTGTTTATTACATTGTTTCCCACATAGCTTCGCAGACAAAAATAAAGAAAGAAGTTTATCACCATTTGCCCTTTCACTTTCCTTCACGACACAGGTGACTTCAACTGTGGGATACAAGGACATTGCACCCAATAGTGTTTGGGGTAAAGTTCTAATGTCCTTGTTGAGTTTTTTTCTTAGTGGAGTGTTGGACTACGTAGGGGATTTATTTTTGACGACTTTATGTGATTGCTTTATCAAATATTTGGAATTTATGCTAGTTCATTGGGGCACTAGTGAGCATAGGTTTAACGGTTTTGTTGGCTTGTTAGAATTTCTTTGTGCCATTATTTGCACCTATCTTATGTGTAGTAGTAGGTATGTTGCAGTTTCACAGACTCTCAGAATTTAACTATTTGGATTGTTTGTATCTTTTTGTGGTTACCATAATAACACTTGGGTATGGGGATATTGTCATTATGTCGGCGGATGCGGTAATTTTTGCTAGTTTTTGGATATGGTTGTCGAGCTAAGTGTACGTACTACTTAAGTTGTAAACTTGCAAGATGTTTGAGAATAGTTTGAGACTTGAGACCACTCAAGTGTATTGGTTTGAAATACCATTCTTTTCTAATTTTGCGTATTAAGTCTTAATTTGAAGTACTTATGATTCCATTTCTCCTACATATTTGTCATTGCTAATAATGTAATGCTGAAGATTGGGAAAAAAAAATGTTATACTGAAGGATGCTAAAAATTAGATTTTATTAAACCTATTTGGGGGCATGTCATAGGGAGATGTGCTTATGAACGAGGGTGCCGAAGGCGACACAAAGCTTGCATATTAAAAGGCAATGTGGTTAGGCACGAGGGTGCCGAAGGCAAAAGAGGATGTCGAAGGCACAAAACTTGCATGTCACAGGGCGATGTACCTAGGCATGAGGGTGTCGAAGGTATAGTCACAAGAGAGTATGTCGAAGGGCACGGGGTGCCGAAGGTGCCAAGCTTGCATGTCGCAGGGCGGTGTGCTTAGGCACAGGGGTGTCAAATGCATTGTTATAAAACTTGCATGTCGCAAGGAAAATTACCGAAGGGCTCACTTTGTCTAGGGTTGTGCTAAATAAAATAAAAAGGAAAAATAGGGATTTTGAAAGGTGATGTTCGGCAAGGTATATGAAGCAGAAAGGTTTCGAGGTCCTCCCCCTCTTCAGCATAGTTGCCGATCGGCATGTTTCGAAAATTACCTCTATGAGTCCTCGTATCGGCAAGGTTTTGGCTGGGTGTCGGCAAGGCTATGTACGAAGAAGTGATTCGGTGTGGGCTTGCTTCGGTAAGGTTGAAGAGTTTTGGAAGCTGTCTTTTCCTGCTGCGCAGCCCTTGCCATTCGGCAAGGGTGATTGAAAAAGTTATCGGCAATGGTCTTCTCCGATTCAGCAAAGGTGTCTTCTCCGGTTGTATAGCCCTTGCAGTTCGGCAAGGGTGCTGAAAATTCGGAAGGGGCTGGCATAAGCCTGCCATTCGGCAGAGGCTGCTTGGAGGAAAATTTTGTGCTCTCCCTTCCTTCTGCACAACCCTTGTCGTTCGACAAGGGTGTGTTGGTGAAAAATTGTGATGATTTTTGTGTCTTCGACAAGGCAGTGGCTGCGCTCGGCAAGGTGAGCTAGTTTCGTGCTTGTCACAACATCAGAATGAGGGTGCTAGTCTTTTTTTTATTTTCGGTGTTGGGTCATTTCGACAACGATCCAACTTTGGATTTTGGTGGGTTCTGAAATCAATTGAGATCGGGCACAGCCCTTGCCGAACAGGGTGATAGAAGAAGTTTTTTCGCAAGCTCCCTTGGGCTTGGTCTTCGTCAAAGAGGCTGGGATGTTTGCACCATGCGGCAAGGGTCTAGGTTCGCACAGCCGGGTCTGTTACCGTGAGTTCTCACAGCTCTTGCCGTTCGGCAAGGGTCTAGGTTCGCACAGCCGGGTCTGCTACCGTGAGTTCTCACAGCTCTTGCCGTTTGGCAAGGGTGATTGGGGTAGGAATTTTTGCGTGAGTCCCCAGTTTATTGAGCCCAAAGAATCTTCTTTTAGGTTTTTGTCGTTCGGCAAGGAATTCACAAGTGGTTTGTGTGTGGGTGCGATTCCAAGGGGAAGAGGTATTGGAGCTGGGTTCGGCACATCGTGAGTTGGTGGAAGGATTGGTGGAAGGATATTTCGTGCATCCCCTTATTATCTAAACGGTTCTTGCTGTTCGGCAACATTGTGGAAGGAGAGTTCGTGCATCCCCCTGCCTCAGCAAAACCCTTACTGTTCGGCAAGGGTGATTAGGTACAAGCTTCATATCGGTTTTTTGGTTCGACGAGGGTGGTTTGGGCAGATTGGGAAGCTTCGGCAGAGATGGGAGGTTGTGCCTGTTTGCAATCGATGAGATTTATCTCTGGTTCAATAAAGAAAGTGTCTAACGGTAAGCACACGAGTGGTCTCTGGTTAGGATCTTGTTGGTCCAATGTTGGAAGAGTCTTTATATGCTTATTTGCATGGGGGCGCCGAACGATAATGTGTCATTCTTAAGCCCTTTTGCTGAACAAAGCTTGATGTATACACCAAGATGGACGCTACCCATTGGTGGTCTGCAAGCTATTAGGTGCCATTATTTATACTTCATATGAGTTGAAAATGAGTTGCATGGGCATCCTTTCAGGCTGACATGATAGCTTGCCCATTAGTCATACAAGTGTGGGCTCTGCTTTTGAATCATGTGGGCATGCTGGGCCCCAATTGGATTTATCTCCATTTCCTCCTTATTGGCTTTCATGTTTGATTCCATGGCTTAGGTGAATATTTGGAAGTCATGCAAAGTGATACTCTAGTTGAATTGGAAAGTGAACCACGTGGGTCTCCCATTGGATTGAAATGGTGGTTGGCCTCCTTGGCCATGCAAAGTGATGTTGTTGGTGAATTGGAATATTTGGCAATTGCGAAATTGGAACTTTTTCAAAGTGGCCGAATCTGGACAGTTGTTATTCATATGCAATATTCATGAATCATATTATTAAATATGATTGAGCAATGAATTATTTAAATATTGCATGCTTGTATACAATATTTATATGTAAGGAGAGAAATCTTATCTTGTGGTGAGGATGTACGTGGGCATCCTTCAGAGTGGAGCAATTTTTCCTTGGCCATGTGCAAGCCATGCATTTGGAATATTTGGTCATGCATTTGGAATATTTGGCCACCCATGAATTGAGACTTTCAACGTGACTAAAAGGTGGTTCCTTGGGCTGTAGCTTCCTCTTTTGGCCATGCAAGCCATGCAAGGCGAGGTGTCGAAGGCATCGCTCACATTAAGGAGGTCTGCCAAAGGCATCGCATGCGCCACATGATGACGAGGTGCCAAAGGCATCGTTCGTGCTGAATGACGATGGGGTGTCAAAGGCGTCGCTCGCTTCGGATGATGATGAGGTGTCGAAAGACATCGCTTCAAGCAGAATGACTACGGGGTGCCAAAGGTATCACTCGCGTCGAATGATGGAAGGGTGCCGAAGGGAACGTATGCGCCGAATGATAGAGGGGTGCCAAAGACAGCGTGCGCCGAATGATGGAGGGGTGCTGAATGATGAAGCTTGTAGAACAAGCTCAAGTCCCCATATTTTTACTCTTCAAAGAAGTGTCGAACGACACTTTGAATTGGGATATTGGTTTGGCCCTGCAAGCCATGCAAAATGATAGCCACATTCCGATTGGCTTTTCCTTAAAATATCATCTGTTGCAATTTGTTGCATTAGCATTTATGGTTGCTCTAGTAATGTATTGCCGAACGGCAACTTTGGTGATACTGATTGTATGGGTGCCTAAGGGCACTGAAGAAGGGGAGAATGACATAAGCCTTTTGTATTAATTCCCACAGACGGCCAAACTGTTGATCATCTTTTTAGGAGGGTCAACTTAAATAGAGGTGGAATGGTAAATGATGGGTGAAGGTGAGGACCTTCAGCATGTGTGTGAAGATTTGGGCAAGCGATAAATATACAGAAGACGAGATATACATGGTTCACCCTTAATGAATGGGCTACGTCCATAGAGAAGGATGTTCTCATTATGATAATGTTTGTTTACATTTGTACAAGGGGATTAGACCCAAAGATAAAGGGAAGAAGGCCCAAGGCCTAAGGTACAAAGATCAAGAGTCCAAGGCCCAAGGGTCAAGATCCAAGACCCTTTTCTAAGTGGAGAGTGGTCTTCTTTTATAGGTGAAAGGGAGTTTCCATCTCTTGTAGTCTTCCAATGTGGGACTCCTTGTCTTGCTTAGATTTGTGACTTGTGGTAAGGCTTCTTTGGCTAAGGTAATGACCTCTCATAGCATGGCACGTGGCTGATCTTGCCTAGCTAGTTGCTCGGTTAGTCACGGTATCAACATATTTCTTTTGTCATTTCCATCCAAATTTAGATTGTCCTGTACATAATGCAAAAGAATTATTACAAAAAATTAATTAATTTATAATTTAATAAGAATGAATTTAAGGTTTATACCTGATTTTCTATGACATTACCCTATAGTCCCAAAGTTAGATCTTGAACTCCACTATTTATGTAATGTAGACCTCTCCATGTTGGAAAATTGTGACTCTATATGAAGAGAAAAAAGGTAAATTTATTTTTTTGGGTTAATAGAAAGATAAAACTGCCTTCTTGTGCAGTGGTGGATCCAGGATTGTTACCCTATGGGGTCATAATGTTAAAGTTTCGATTTTAAAAAAAAATTTAAATAATGCAAAAAAATAATAATTTAAAAACACACCAAATTTATTCCAACTAACAAAAACATCATTCAATAAATCAAGCTCATATATGTATTATGTAAGCCATAAATTTCATCAAAATAATAACACAAACCTAAATAATAAATAAACTCACCCAAAAATAACCCAAATAATAAAATATCTTGAATATTAAAAACAAACAAAAAACACAGTGAGTGTTGAACCATTAACCTTAAGGTCCATTTCTATTCAAAGACCACTATGGTAAGTGATGTCTTTATGCTATTCATCTATACTTTTAGTATTATATGTCTACTCAACAAAATTAAAATAATATTAAAAAAAACACTAACAAATATCTTCCTTTTTAAAAAAAAATTATGTCGGTGCATCTTCTTCTCCCTCTCAGTCTTCATCTTCTTCCTCCCCCTCCTCTCTTTTCTTCTCCTTCAATCTTCTTCTTCTTCCTCCCCCTCTTTCTCTCTTTCTTCTTCCTCCCTATTTCTTCTCCCTAGCAGCTTGCATCTTCTTCTCCATGGAGTCGTCTCCCATGGTTGCCAAGGGAAACCAAGAACCTCCAAGCCATTTCCAGGGCTGCCATGGGGTTGTCTGACCCCATTGACCCTATGGTGGATCCGCCACTGTTCTTGTGTGCACGTGCATCAGTTTCAACATTATGGTACCTTAAAATGCTAAGTAGATTTTAACTCATATCATCTTATTCTTAGGTGCAAATGTGATGTGGGGAATGCTCTGTCCATGTATTATTGGATGAGCAAGTAAAAGAAAACTACTTTGCCTCCTAAAATTATGGTCAAATATTGATAAGTGCTACAAGATCTCGTACATTGGAACCTATGGTTATGGACCCGAATCCATTAGAAATATTAGTATTTGATTTATCTAAATTCATGTCATTTAGTATTTAATTCAATTGAATAGAGGAACTCCCGAACATTTGGCGATCTCAGATGTGTCGATATTAATGATGACTCATTATTTCGATGAAAGGATAGGCTTCTTTAAAAAAAAAAAAAAAAAAAAAAAAAAAAAATAAAATAAGTAATTGAAAAAAATTGAGCATGAGAGCCAAATCTCACTTTGCCCCCCAAACTTAAAATGACCCACTTTCCCCCTTTGACCAAGGTTTGATGACCAGCTTTTCCCCCGCCGTCAACTCCATCCAAAACTCTGTTAAATTTGTTGACATAGCATGAGAGTTTTTGTAATTTAATACATGGACGCCAATTTTTTAATGACTTGGACTCCATATGAACAAAATAAATAATAATAAAAATTATTCAATTAAAAAAATGATAAAAACAAAAAACAAAAGAAAATAGCAAACCCAACAAATTCTCCCTTCCCCTCACATATTAACCATACCCCACCCTGCCCCCAGTCGCCTCCCCACCCACCACCACCACCATCACTATCACAACCACCAAACCATTGAACCAAACGACTAAAAACTAAAACCATTTGCACCCTGAATTAAGTTCCACGGGTATAGTCCTTGTGAAATGCCTTGTGAGCCTTCTCATCATCTTCATCTCCACCAGTATACTTCACCCCACATGTAGAACATGTGTGCAGATTATAATAAGACTGACCAAACTCTAAATAGAACTAAGCATAACTTCTCTTTTTTAAATTATTTTTTCTTACATCCTGAGAAGGATTCGATTCAAATCTTGGTTCCATATATGTGTATTTTTTATATATAAAAAAGGAATCAAACCTTCAAAACTAGAAGGAGCCGTTCCTGCACTTATATGGTGGCATGTTAGCACAAATCACTTTTTGATACTCTCAATGAAACTTCCTTACTTGGAAAACAAAGTCAAATATATATTATGTTGTGAAAAATAATAGTTTTCTTCTTTCCGTAAAGCCAAATACAAAATATTTATATTATAAATAACATATAAACAAATTGAAAAGCTTTGAAGGTATAATGAAATTGAAGAAAACAAAATAATAGGGAAATAAAAGGAAAATAAGTAATAGGTAAGAAGGTGAGTTTGGTACGGTGAAGCACGTCAAAGACGTTATCCTAAAGCCTTTGTAGCCTCCCTATGTGCAGGTACTGACGGTCTACAAGACTCCAAGATACGACCCTTATACACAAACTCAAGATCCGCTATGAGCACGTTCATAGACAGATATAGGTATCCAAGTCACATAACCATTGCCCAAAATAATAATAATATAAAGTAGAGAATATATGTAAAAATAGAAAAAGAGAAAATTTGAATGTGTATGTGATATTCTGATAGTGTATTGTGTGTTCATGTGTGTGTATCAAATGTGAAGAAGGAGTGGTCTTTTATAGGCATCCAAAACATGTAACCTTCACCAACCAAAAAATTAAGGCATTCACCAACCATAAATAAAGCCTGAATATTAAATATTCATAACCCCCACAATAAATAAAATAAAACAACCAAAATAATTAAATAAATAAAATGGTTAAATTTTTAAAACCTTCTAAAATTCCAACATATTATATATTATATAATATCACAAAAGAAGAATAAAACATAGGGAAATTAAACAAAGGTAAACCAACATGCCTTTATTTATTTATTTATATATAATCAACATGCAGAAAGACTCTCAAATGCAAGCAAATTTTTATTTTTATTTTTTGTGATTCTCTTCTTCTCCAACACTAAGTTGGAAAACAATCCTCCACAAGACCATATTAGTGCCTTTCTTTCAAATTTTTTATTTATTTATCAGATCTTTTAAGATTCTTCCTTTTTTATAGATAGATATAGATGTGTAAATTTTATAATACATTATACACATCTTTGTTAACTTCTTTTTCTTTATTATTTGATTCAACAAAAAACTTGGTAAAAATTCTTTTTCTTTACGATTGGAAGTTTCAAGTTAAAGAAAAGATGCTCAAAATCCAAGTTTTATTGTTATTTGTTAATTAGTTTTTTGTTATTGCGTTGTGTTTATTATAAAAATTAAAAAATGCTTCCTAATAAACAACTTTATATAAATCTCAAAAGACAAAAAAGAAAAAGAAGAAGAAATTTTTCCAAGTGTAAGAGAATATTTGAATAAATATTTTGTTAAAAAAACCAATGCTTTACTTGAAAATTTACCAAATGCATCTGAGCAGTGTTTAATTCAGATAAAAATTATAATTTTAGTGTTTAATTTGTCTAAAGGGACACACTTTCGAAATTTGCCTAGGGCCTTAGAAAACCATGGATCGGCTCTGCTTTCTCTTTATCTCATTTTTTATATCTCTTGCATCGCAAAGGATATAAAACATATTACATGGAAGTTTACAAGGCGAGCAATGGCTCCTTGTTTTTTTTCCCTTTGTAAATTATAAAGGAATTACAAGAACTCTGATGTGAAAATGAATTATATATACCAACTAACTCTTAATTTAAGGTTACTTCTCTCCCCAATGTCAAAAAAGTCCCTCATCCGTCATCCCCAAAATTATCAACAACAAAAAATAATGAAAATCTTGAGGAGTGTGCAAAAACAAGCCAAACCACACCAACATGGGTGTTCTCAAACACTAGGTGCTCTAAGAGCACTTCCACCAGTTAGCCACTTACCATGGAAAGGGGAGCCCTAGGGCGGCTACTATTCACGTGAATAGTGGCTG